TTTTTGTTGGTTACAATCCCATAAGTACCTTGGACTTATAGTTGACAGCAGATTGACATTTAATGAACATATTGATAACATTAAGAAAAAGATATCCAAAAGAATTGGTGCTATGTATAGATCAAAAAAACTTCTCCCTTTTAAGTTCAGGAAGATGTTTGCTAATGCACTTATGTTGCCACATTTTGACTACTTAGACACCATCTGGTCAAGAACATATAAAAAACGACTAGGAGAGTTAGATATCATGTACAAAAAGGTTGCTAAAATAGCCCTAGATGTAAACATCAGAGAGAGGTCGGTTAATGTATACAAAAATATGAGATGGCTTCCTCTCCATTTGAGACGACAGGTTCATCTTAGCTCATATATGTACCGTATAATCAATGAAACATGTCCAAAGCATTTTATCGGGAAATTCTCGTATATTTCTGGTGGATCACGTGAGGCAGAAAACTGCAATCTTTATACTCCTAAATCAAGATCTCACAAGGAGTTTAACTATCTAGGAACTAAGGCCTGGAACATATTACCAAAGTCCCTTAGAGAGTGTGACGACGTTAAGAAATTTTCTAAGTTATACAAAGAAACTCTTATGAATATGTTGCTAACTGATGAGAATTACCAAGGGGATAACTCTTACGATAAATTCATGATCCCACCCAACACTAGCCAATGTATCTAGGCAGTTATGTTATTTCGGTTAAGTTATCTCTGTACATAAGTGAATCCAATCTATCCCCTGCAATCAAAGTATTTCCATGCCTACTAAGCTATTACAGGAAATTAGGAACATCAGTGGAAAGGTGCACTGTCAATCATTATTGCTCCATACCTCCAGTCCTCCTGTTATGTGCAATTCTCACTGTATGCTCCTCATTTGTATCAATTATATTGATGCTACATTGTTATTGAATATGAAATAATTTTCAACCGTATTAATTTATTAACTTATTGTAAATAGCAAGTTTGACAAAGGGATTACGTTTATTTTACCCGGAGTTCGTTTAAGTTTAGTATTGTAAATAGTTAATTTGACGAAGGGAATACGTCTATTTTACCCTGAGTTATGTTTTAGTTCAATCTTGACACAATTTTAAAATTATAATTTAATTATTTTATATATATGTATTGTCCATAACTAGGGTGGCCTGCTAACAGAACCATGATCTGCCTTGATTCATCCTTCAGCACAGAGAAAAGCTCCCTTTTTTTATACATTATGATTACAGAGGATCTGATATTTAGATATATATTGCTGTGCTGTAAAAATTGACTTTATTTATTTATTTATTTATTTATTTACAATTCTGTCCGTCCAATTTCCTATCTGCTTGTCCTTTTCTTATTTCTTTATCAGTTGTGACGGAATTGTAATGAACAAAATCCTTATAATTATTTATGATATGTTTGATTTCTTGTTAATGTTTGTCATTCAAATTTGGTAGACGGCCCCAACGTTAATGTGGCTCTTGCTATGTGTTGGTTCAGCCGAATTAATTATTATATTTAATCAAGTTTATTTTTCTCGTTAGTTGTCATCCGGCCAAACATTAAGCAACTTATATTGCAGTACCATTTATCATTTAGTAATCAAAATATGTCATTGTAATTTTGCATGGCTGAAATGTAACGCTTGATTTATATATATAATGATTAATTGAATTTTCAAATAAAAAAAAAATATAATAGTGACGTAACATATATAGTCAAAGAATTAGTAACTTGCTAGATGTGATTTAAGTGCAATTGTAAATTGCAAAATGTTAACGTCGATTATTACTAACATTTATCTGAATTTAATACAAGTACATGTCACATATAAATTAAGTAGCTGAATGAAACTCGTGCCTCAGAATTTTCCGTTATTAGCATTGCAGTGTCCACATCCTGTACTGCGTTAACGACCGAAATTTTCCCAATATGTAATAATTACGTTGCTTCTAAAATTCTTTGATAATTAATAATATATCGTGACATGTAATTGTAAGATAACAAACCTCGCGCGCGCGGCGCTTACATCTGCACCTGAGAATCTCTCAGCAATGTGTGGCTGTCTGCGCGGCGGGCTGTGTATTGCATGTATATAACTGAATTTAAATTTAGATTTATTTGTAAATGTATAATAATATTAAATATGTATTGATTGTTTTGTGGTAAATAAAAATTTTGTTTTACTAAATTTTGTTTTACTAATCTCTATTCATATGTTTATGGTAAAGAAATCACTGTTGTTCTTAGAATTTCGAAACGAAGGCGCTTCCTTATGTATGATGTCAATTTCCATAAAGCCGTAGTACATACAACATACATATTACATTACAGTGAAACTTACACAGTGTAATTTTTTCCAGTCTGTGCCGCGTACGTTTACACAGGCGCGCAACGCAGACTGGAGTTGTAGGTTTACAACCTACCAGGACGCGCGCCGAGTTGGACTCGTCGACGGTCCAATATATGGAACAAATACGGTCCAATATATGGAACAGATATTTTACGAGTTTCACCCGTTAAAGACTGGAGGAAATTACACTGTGTAAGCTCAATCCAGTGTAATTTAATATGTATGTACTACGGCTCAACGGGTCAGCGTTATTCAGACTCAGTTACATATCTTAGAAAGCGCTTGCGCTTTGAGGTATTAAAGACAACAGTTATTTCAATAAGGGGGACAGAGGGCCCAAGTTGCGATATAAACCAGACAATATTGAAGATTTAGATTTAAATATTGTGCCCTTTGGCTAGAGAATACTTTCTTAGATATTTTGGATAGTTTTTACATTTTAATATTGGTAACATTAATGAATTGTAATTGATTGATATGTAATATTTAGGCCTGTGGCCAGTTTTCACATATGTACTACGGCTTAACACTTCCGAGTGAGGAGTCCGAATCAAGCTCACTACCAGGTGCATCGCTCCTTTGATTATGCTGTCTACAAGCATCAGCACTTCATCAGCTACGGCGATGTCAGCCGTTCCTCCCCCGGTTTCTGTGAGCACTTTCTTTCGAGCTGCTGCGCCCTCTTTGCTTCAGTGGCGAAACCGTTGCGCCACAGAGAGCTGCTACACCGGGCTCAATCGGTCTCATTCAGTCCCTTAAAGAAGCGGGCCTGTGCTGAATAACTCTAAATTTCCTGCTGCTGTTTTAGGTCTAACAAGTCATCATAACCATCCATTATTCAAGTTTACTAAAGATAAATCAGGAGCAAACAAAACAGACAAACGGATTTCAATCAGAAAAGAATTACAGCCCACGTTCTTACATCTACAATCTACATTCTACATCGTCCTCTTGTCGACTGTCAAAATTATGCACCTTCAGTCCTCGCACATCCACAATTATCTGTAATCTCTTGTTGCAGTTCCGCAAACATAGTGCCGCAGTGCCGCAATAACGTGGCAAGGTCATCTGCATAAAAGTAGAGTCAGTAAAACAATGCCTTCATTGGCTAAGAACATGACAAGAGTTTAAAAACAGAAGTGTTTAAAAACTCAGATTTTTGGGAGTGAATTTTAACAATTTAGTCTCAGAGCTGTCCCCAAGACATTTTTTCTTGATATCTACTATCAGTTGTTTTATATTCGTATAATCAAGGATTGACATGGTCTTTTTTTTCTGATAGACAAATGTTTCATACTTTATACTCATACTGGGTTGTCTTTGATGATTGATGATTTGATTTAGTCCTCCAAGTATAACCGGGAGAGCTATAATGTCTCTTTCAAGTGGTAAAACAACTCCGTCAACAAGTGCAGGAATTGGCTGATCATTTATTGCAGCGTCCAAAAGCTTGAAGTTTTCACTTATATCATTGACTGTTCTTTTTATGTATGTCCACCTCCTACAGCACAAATAAGCCTCAGCAATCTTTGCTAGGTCAACATCCTTCACCCATGACCTAACATTTTACATTAATATAAATGTTTCTGAAGTCCGATTCACATTGGTGGATCCACCGTTACAACTTACAAGGTCTTAAAGGGTAGTGTTACTATCGCGGTTGAAATGCAAAAGTATAAACCCGTCTGATGACTGATGACTGATTGTAAATGCTTTTGACACAGCTTGGCCATTCAACTTTCAAATAGATTTATTTTGCATTTAATTTGCATTGATGTTAGTGGTTTGCTTGTCTTAGTTTGTGGGGTTTGCTATTCAGACATAATCTATTTACACTGGTTTCCTTTGACATGAGTATTTTCTTCCAGTACTCTGCACAAAATTTCCCAACATGCCTGAGCAGGCTTGCTTCACACAATGCTAGCACAGTCAATGAAGCAAGCCAGTTCTTCGGTATTCGAAGCTGGCCCCTGAAAATATTTTGTGTTTTTGTTTGGCTAGATTAAAACCTACAGTAACAAATTGCCTAAATCACTCTAACATTGCGCATTAGAAATTAGAAATTAGAAATACACAAGAAAAGTTAAGATTCATATTTTAACTTCAAAACACAACCAGCTGGCACAATTTAATTGTTTATGTAAATTACTGTGTGTGGCCTGCACAGTTAAGTCAACAATGCCATGAGAAAGGTCTTGTGTGCAAACAGCATAAACTTTTGCACAGATAGGATTTAAGTTATTTTCGAGGATTTTGCCCAGGCCCTGAAGCAATTTAACAACTTAAACAGTGTTGTTGCTACAACTCTACAGGGTTATCGTTTGATAACTTGATATCCAAGTTATGTACGGACCACCTTTGATCTTAAAGGACCAAGTTCATGTGTGTCCTGATCCTGCCTGGAAAGGACAAAACTGATACACAAGATTGTGCTCATACTGCATCTTTGATACAATAGTAAAGATAATGACTTATCCCTTGCAGAAGAAATCCTTGTACCTGGAGGGGTTTATACTGTATATATATACACCCACTTTCAATTAACTCTTATACTTCTCTAATAAACCAATTTTGAGAAAGATATTTTGGTCTTGTGGAAATGAAATTGTAATACATTGCAATGTATAATTTTATCTGAATTTTGAAATAATTTTGAAAAAAACTTCAGGATGACATTCAGGTGATGAGGAGAACTGGGGAATTTGGTTGAACTCCATAGTGAAACATGGATCTAGTCAAACCCATCAACCCAAAACATGATACATGCTAAATGTATCCTACAGCTATATTTAATTTCCCCAGCTCCACCCTTTCCTATCACAATGTCAGGTTAGCAGATTAAGTTATTTATTAATTTTATTTATTTAATTGTTCAGTTTAATTTAGTGGTGGAGATTGTAAGTTTTCAATCCATTGTCGGTCTTTTAATCGCCGTTGAATTGAAGTAAGTGCTCATAATTTCAGATTAATTTATTTTCCAGTTTTGATACTTTTGGGAATCTTAATTTCAATCTACATTTATCAGCAGATTGAATTATATATAATATTAAGTAAAAACTTAGTTATCTAGCTAAGCTATCTAAATAGGGGGGGGGGGGGGGGGTCCAAGGGGAACTTTGGGGAACTTTGGGAAAGTCCCCCAAGATTTCTGAAGTTCCCCAAAAAAAAGTTCCCCAAAACTCCCCAAAGTTCCCCAAAATTCCCCAAAATTATTCAAAATTATTTAAAATTATTCAAAATTATTCAAAATTTCTCTAATATACATTAATACCCATTAATGTTAACATGTATGTTATTATAAGGTATAATCTTAACTTACTTGTTGATACTTGCAGCATGATAATTTGTTTGGCATTATAATTTTTTTGGGGAACTTTGGGGAACTTTGGGGAATTTTGGGGAACTTTCTGAAGTTCCCCAAAAAAAAGTTCCCCAAAATTCCCCAAAATTATTTGTTTCATTGATAATTTTTTGGGGAACTTTGGGAAAGTCCCCCAGGTTTCCTGAAGTTCCCCAAAAAAAAGTTCCCCAAAACTCCCCAAAGTTCCCCTTGGACCCCCCCCCCCTAAATATTACAAGTTATATAAGTATATTATCTAAGTTATAAGTTGTAGAACAAATGAAACAAAGTTCAAATGGCAAGTTCAACTTCAAGTTTCATACTATAGCAATTAAACTACAGCAATCGTCAGGAACTTATATTAGATTTAAAAATATAAGTTATATTATTTCAGTAACATCAGAAGCAGAACCAAGCCCCATGCTGTTGTAGCGCCCCAGCACAGCACTTTACCCAGCCTGAACGAGTCCTCCACTGCACAGGATGGAGATTACAAGGTTATTAATTTTATCTCTTTTCTTCATTTTATTAATTTTATTAATACAGGTACATTCTTTTGCAGAACAAGTTGCACCTTTTTAGCTTTTGTGAATTAATTCTAGAGTTTATTTATTGACACTTGAGTTGGAAAACTTTATACAATATGCCTGCTATATGGATCATGTCTGTAATTACTAACTTAGTCACAATTATTATCTTAACCATGAAATAGTTGTGTAACTATACTTAATTGAACTGTACACAATGTATTCGAATATTAATTTATAATGCAATGTCCAATTAAAATAGTTTTTCTAAAAAATATTTTATATTCGACAATTGAATCATGTGCTAAATGTGAGCTCATCCAAGTCTCAATTCATAAAGCGTAATTAATACACACTGTTCTGTAGATCACGTTATATTTCACTGTCAACACGAGTCACACGGATGGCGTGATCTTGTAGTACATATTGTATATTGTATATTGATGTAGTTTTCTAGGAGACTGTGGCCGGTGGTTTTCTTTGAAATCAATCGGACAAAACGCGTCGAGATTTCTCGAGAAAACTATGTCAGTAGGTAGTGTTAGATAATATTACAATAATAGTTGGATTGTTGAGGTATTTGGTCAATGTTATGTTATTGCAATACAAAAGCACTATGAAAACACATTCCTGCAATCGCTGATTATGAACAACTCTAACAGACGAGAGATCATATCTATCTATACAAAAAATATTGATGTTAATAATTTGATAATTTGATAAAACATTAATATTCATCACTTAACTATGACTCCAGAGTTCATTATCTGATCATATACCACTTTGTGTGTATTATATATGGGGTTTATGAATTATGATCCAACATCTGTGTTAAATTGTGTGGTAATTTAGGTACCCGATTTTGTGGTTGATTGAAGTTAACGAATAAACCGGTTAACTATGTCCAAGTTAATAGCCTATAAATACACCAGTCAGGTTATCAGGCAGTTGTTACTTACAAAGAATTTAAACTTGATATTATCCTTATTACAGTTTTTATAACTTTGGGAACGTTTCCGCCACAGTCACGCTTAGATGACTAAACCTTATGACTGTCTATATTAGGAGATAACTTTAACTTTAACTGTAATTTAAACAGTCGCAATATGTTACTCACTGGTAAAAGTAATTATAACACAGTTTATTGTCAGGTTAAACCGAATGAGATACTGCAAAGCTCCAATGCTGTGTACGAAGTGTTGGAGTTTATTGGTAGAGGAACGTTCGGTCAGGTCAGTCAAAATCTATTTAAAATAAGCAGCGTCAGTTTTCTGGGCCAGTTTTCTTACACCTAATTATTTTAATGCCCGTAATGGGATGCCTCACAGTTTCACTAAGTTACTGTTAAATTAACTTACTATTAAAATAAGTTACTTCCACCCAACAACCAAACATACGGTATGTTAAAGGGGGATGAGGGGGGGGGGGGGGGGGGAGGGGGGTGGAAGTAAGGTTTGTTACATACCTCATCTTAATCCTCGTCTCAACTTACACATGTAAGCTTTATAAATTTCCAGTCACGTCCGACGTCAGCCCCAAGTACCAGGTTTCATCTCGAGTAATAAACCTTGAATAATCTAATTTATAGCTGATAACTATAAAGCTAATGTTGATTTAATGTTCCTCAGGTGGTAAAGTGCCTGCGGAAAGACAGCAATGAGCTGGTTGCTGTCAAAATTCTCAAGAATCATCCACATTATGCTCGTCAGGGCCAAGTCGAGGTAATTATTGTTTTCAGTCAATTAATTAGTCAATTAATTAGCCAATTAATTAGTCAATTAATTAGCCAATTAATTAGCCAATTAATTAGCCAATTTGAAATCAATGGAAGGTTATTGTTCCTGGAATGTTTAGGTTGGTGAAGGATCTTAAATGTTTAAACTACGAATTTCAGTTCAGGAAATTGAATGCGAGGTGTATAAAATTAGATTTCGGTGTTTCCGGCTTTATAATATATTCATTATTCATTCTTGGCACAATCCAAGAAGCCCGACACATCTCGGTCCAATTCCCGGTCCAATTCACCGACAAAATAATGGCGGGAACCCTCCCTTACCACAAACTTAACCCTAAACTTAACCTTGGCTTGAAATTAATGCTGAACTTAACTCTAAATCCACCGTAATATGTTTCTATTAAAATCCTCGAAGCTGTGTCGGGCTTTTAGTTCTTGGATAATGGTACATTCTCAATATATTTGATTCGTGTCCAAATTTAGACATGATTTTTCAAGTCCAGCTGACAAATCAACTTCGGGAAATTGATAAACCATGAGCGTAAAGTACTTTACTTATGTTCCCTAATAAGGCTCTATCCGTTTATAACTAGACTGTTCTGCTACAGGAGCCTAATTAATGTAAGGTGTTACACAGCATGTAACGTGTTACACAGCACATGTAAGGTGTTACACAGCATGTAAGGTGTTACACAGCACATGTAACGTGTTACACAGCACATGTAACGTGTTACACAGCATGTAAGGTGTTACACAGCATGTGAGGTGTTACACAGCATGTGAGGTGTTGCACAGCACATGTAACGTGTTACACAGCACACGATAGGCGTTACACAGCATGTGAGGTGTTACACAGCATATGTAACGTGTTACACAGCTTATGTAACGTGTTACACAGCATGCAACGTGTTACACAGCACATGTAAGGTGTTACACAGCATGTAAGGTGTTACACAGCATGTAACGTGTTACACAGCACATGTAAGGTGTTACATAGCACATGTAAGGTGTTACACAGCATGTAACGTGTTACACAGCATGTAACGTGTTACACAGCATGTAACGTGTTACACAGCATGTAACGTGTTACACAGCATGTAACGTGTTACACAGCACATGTAACGTGTTACACAGCATGTAACGTGTTACACAGCATGTAACGTGTTACACAGCATGTGAGGTGTTACATGTGCTGTGTAACACGCTCAATTAACTTCCCAAAGCTCTACATTCATGTGCATGCTTGTTTAAAATGGCTAACCTTACATGTTACGTTTAACACGCCTTATATCGGTTTTCTACCAACTTTTTTGTCTCCGTTATTTTATACAACTCAGTTGATCTTGAGTTTCCGGAACATTTCTGAAATAAGATAACAAAACACTTTGTAATTTGTATAAAATGTCAAATTCTGACTAGTGAAGCAGCACGTGTTAAAGGCAGTGATTTGTAACGTATAATTTTTTCGTGTAGATATTATATATAAGTCTACACTCCTGTTTTACATGATATTCTAAACTCAACCAGTTATTCAGAATCACACGAGATATGAATCAATAGAATTATGTGCATGTAATAATATATCCGTATCTGATTTTAAAGCGTCTAACGTGTAGGTAATGTTAAACAAATAGCGAGTAGACACGTACCACTCTTCCCAATATAGATATTACTTCACCTTTATTACCTGAACTGTAGAGTGATTAATCGTGTTATTAAGTTAACGTTGTAATTATGTAATTATGTAATTATGTCAGTGGTCATTACGCAATTAACGTTATTAAATAACTTCAGATTCAGATTCTCACCCACCTGAGCAGCGAATCGTCGGACAAGCACAATTTTGTGAAAGCGCTGGAATGTTTTAAACACCATAACCACACGTGCCTTGTGTTTGAGATTCTGGAGAAGAACCTGTTTGATTACCTCAAGATGAACGAGTTCTCGCCCATGCCCCTTAACCATATCAGACCCATTTTACAGCAGGTAAGAGTAACAACATTAACAAAAACATTAACAACATTAGTAACAACATTAGTAACAACATTGATTGTGGTTTATCATAGGTTTACATATCATTGCGTTCTTATTAGGATCCGGCTAAGTGTTGTTTGGTTTGATTCTAATAAAGTTTTCCTCACTTTAACTTATCTAATAATTCGTATGCTATGAAAAAAAGCTTAAAATGGCAAATTGTGCATCTAAATGTTGCCCTAAGCTGGCTGCTGTCCTTACTTTAACTTCTTTGATATTTTGCTTGTAACTAAATCACGAGCACTGCAATCTTCATCATCACGTTACTTTAACAAAACTCTATTTAAATACAATTAATACATGCTTGAAATATTCAACATAATTACATATTTCACATAATTAGACCACGTGATAATCACGTGATAACCTCCCAGGTGTTGACTGCCCTGATAAAACTGGCTGAACTCGACGTTATCCACGCTGATATAAAACCTGAGAACATAATGTTGGTGAACGCTAACTTGGAGCCCTTTAGAGTAAAGTTGATTGACTTTGGGAGTGCTACTTATACTAGCAGGGCCCTGGATAATACGTACCTTCAGAGCAGATACTACAGGTAATTGAATATTTAGTTACATATCTTAATATCTATAATTTAACTATAATTAATTGAATATTTAGTTACATATCTTAATTTCTATAATTAAACTATAATTAATTGAATATTTGGTTACATATCTTAATATCTATAATTAAACTATAATTAATTGAATATTTGGTTACATATCTTAATATCTATAATTAAACTATAATTAATTGAATATTTGGTTACATATCTTAATATCTATAATTAAACTATAATTAATTTAATATTTGATCGATTGATGACTCTATTACAGATATGAATGCGATGATTTTTAATTTGTGATCGAACAGCAACTTTCGTACTTAAAACAGCTTAATCAAAGTCCAATTAAACAAAACGATCTGGAATCTCGTTCCTAGCTTTAAATTTTATTGTTACTTTTATTGTAACCTCATCAAACTTTACTGTTTGTTGAACAATTAAGGCCGCAGCCGTAGCAATAATTTTGGATTCAATTATTGCAAACTAAGGTTTATTTCATCTCGTTTTTTAAGCTTGTAAATCCGAGTACCTTTTATAATAGAGTTTAGTCCATAAAGTGTTACCATAAAAAAGTACCAGAATTTTATCTTGTTTGGCTTGCACTAACCCTCTCTTGCCACACATGCAATGATAATATCATGATGAATTTTTTAATTGTTTCGCACAACATCTTTTATTTATGTAGGTCACTTGCACGAAATAAGATGCATATAGTCACACTTTGTGATATATTATAATTCGAAAAAATGCATGTTATTTTTTGTAAAAAATGTTGAAACGATCATGCATTGTTGATGATCTTCTTGTCAATGATTTTCATGTAATTGATGTCAATAGGTTATAAACAACAGAAATTCAATTTTGTAGCTTTTATTGGATCAGCAAATCGTTGGAACAATAAACATTCACCGCCACGCTGAATTGATTGCTTCTACAATTAGATCTTATATTTACTCTATTCGTGCTATTTAAAATGTTATGAATATGTATCGATGAAGTGCTCTATAAAATTTAACTAAAATACATTTGTTTATTAATTTATGAACATAATATAAGGAGGCAATCATTGTTCTTAAATCTAAAACCCTCATACTTCTAGCAACAGTCGTCCCACTCGTTAACAATTATCTTTTATAATTACACTGTTAATTACACTGTTAATTACACTGTTAATTACACTGTTAATTACACTGTTAATTACACTGTTAATTACACTGTTAATTACACTGTTAATTACACTGTTAATTACACTGTTAATTACACTGTTAATTACACTGTTAATTACACTGTTAATTACACTGTTAATTACACTGTTAATTACACTGTTAATTACACTGTTTTAATGACGTCTCATTTCAGAGCACCTGAGGTCATCCTAGGAGTTCCCTTCTCCGAGAAGATTGATATCTGGTCGTTGGGATGTGTTATAGCTGAACTGTTTCTTGGTTGCCCTATTTATCCTGGTGGCTGTGAATTCGATCAGGTGTGTAGAAACTTGTCAGCTGAAAAGTGGACTTTTGACGAAGACCCCCCCCCCCCCCCCCCCCCCCGGCCCCGTTAAATTATAATTTAAAGAGAAATCAAATAATAACGTTCACGGAATAATGGGCAAACTTTGATTAAGGATTCCGGAAGTTTGCTTATTATTCCGTTTGTGATCGTTTAATTTAAATTGTCCGAATTCTAGTATCTATTATTATTCATTGTTTGCAAATATGTACGTGAGGATCTAACGATTCCGGAGAATTGAAATAGGTCATGAGACCTCGTACAGATGATAATTCATGGCTAAATTCATCCTACAGTTCGGTATATTATAACATATGTAATAGCGGTGAAAGGGTTGCTTTTCATTTTGCCGTATGTTCTTGGAATAACTTATTATCCCACAAATATAACAAAACATTCTTCTCAGATTCGTTTCATCACGTCCACTGAAGGTCTCCCCCCAAAAGAAATGCTGGATGTTGGTAAGAAGTCACGACAGTATTTTGTTCCCCCGAACAGTTTCTCTCCTAATTGGAGGCTAAAGAGTGATGAGGAGTATTCTCTTGAAACTGGGACCCGACCTAAAGAGTCAAGGTTTGTTATTTAGACCCTTTACTAAATGTGGTACGAAACTAAGATGCTTTCTTTAACTCCTTTATTTTCTTCATTGAACATTTTTGCCTATATTTTGTGACATGTCCTACACTTCAGGAAGTATAAATTCAAGCGGTTGCAGGATCTCATGTTATTCAACGCTACGGACGCTGTAACAGATCAGGACAAGTTTATTGAAGAACTGGACAGGTAAATACAGTGATACTTTAAAGTTAACATTATTAACTGTATATTTAGGGTTATTTTAACAAAATCTAGGAAATGGATGAGGGTATTTAGTTAATGGTAAAACTAAAATCAAGTATTAACAGGATTTATTAATCCGGTTTAATTCGGACAATGTCGTACCGGAAATTTAATGTATGGAAAGTTTGTTGGATGAAATTTGAGTGTTTTAGTGCAGCTGCACTGAAACAAAAGTTCAGCAATGCAAGTTATATGTGTAAGGATAACTTGCACATATAACTTGCATTGCTGAACTTTTGGTTTTGACTTAACCATGTTGGGGCCTAATTAAGTGGCCATGTAGATTATAAAGTACGTAAGAGAGAGTCAGGACCTAACTTATCATCGGACTTTTGGTTAAATTACTCTGGAGTTCATAAATTCAAATTCTAGTTCAAAGTAATTGTGTATCTTTGTCGATGGTCAAGTTCAATTTTGACCTGCATCTATTTAAATTCCTTCGATAACAATTATGATTATCCTAATCAAAATGATTATCCTAATCAAAATGATTATCCTTATCAAAATGATTATCCTAATTAAAATGATTATCCTAATTAAAATGATTACCCTAATTACTTGTCCAGGTATCAGTTTGTGGAGCTGTTACGACAGATGCTGTGTCTAGACCCCAATCTCCGATGTGCCCCCAACTGGTGTAAAACCCACGAGTTTGTGACAATGAACCACCTGCAAGATTACGTGCAATGTAAACGAGTCCGTCAGGGAATCGAGGTTTGTCTTTCTCTTTTTGTTTCTGATTTTGTGGAATTTGTAGTTGATTTCTCTGTGTTCACTGTGTAATTACTTTATACCCACACTGCTTTCTACTTAAATTAATTCTTACTTCTTTTGTACACACTTTTTACTTAATGTTGCTTTGTACTCGTACTTAGTACTTACATAATACATAACATACTTTGTTTTTTTTCTCTTTGTAAATGTTTTGTGATCAAACGTTAGGTGTCAGCCTGTACGGATGTATGTCTGTCGCTCAATATGTACTCATTTCCCTTATCATATGATATAATATGACTTCTCCAATGTCACGCTGTCGCTTCTGCAGAACCATCTCAAGGAAGAGCATTTCCGGGTATTTTATTAACGCGATCCTGTTCAGGTCATGCAACGAGCCTGCCGCCGGGAGAAACCAGTCAATAGAATGCTGCTAGCCCAGCAGCAGCAGATCAAGTACTTGCAGGTATTTGTACAGCATTCCTGGGTTATTTGGGTTATTTCTGATCTTGATGTAATGTCAAATGTGTTGTTACTTTATACTGAGTTTTGTGCGATTTCTTTCTACTACGTTTTGTTGTGTAACCTGAAGAGACGGTATGTTGACCCTGTTAATATTACTAGGCATTGAATCAGCAAGTTCAGCAACGAGAGCACATTCACCAACAATTAAAGGTATGTAAATAATTTCCGGCCCCTTGCCTTGCCGTTATTGTATTCTCAACATTTAAACGTTCTACAGAATTCGGGTGAGGTTGCAGAATAAATACAGTGTGTTTCTGTTGTTAACTGCTGTTCTCTTCAGAAATTGTGGCGTAATTCGTAGAAAAATGGCTGGTTTGTGTAACGGAACCGTCAAAATATCACATACCATTAAATCTGTTAAATATTGTGAACATGTGATCTCAGATTGACGTCAATAAATTTGGGCGCGAAACGGACCGCGCCGTAACGCGCATTTGGATTGTCAATCTCGTGGGACACATCCGCACAGTTGCTAAAGTACTAGCAAACTTTCAGGCGTTTATAATGCTAAATGTACTTTTTCACCATTGTGTAGGAAGCGCGGCTCAAGTGCGCGCCAGACATGCGTGTTTTATGACAACACTATAAATAGTTGTAGAAACTCGTAACCCTTATTGTTATTATTACAGGCTCAACAGCAACACGATTTAAATTGGAGTTTACACAGTGGTCCGTCAACTAGTCTACAGTACTTCATCAGTGACAAGTGAGTCGGCATTTCCTACTCACACACATGAGTGTTCTTTATATCAACGTTAGCTGCACTGGTGTAATCGTCTGTTAAAGTAAACAATTAGTCACGCAGAAGTGCAGATTGCGTGTTGATTATCTTGTGATTTGAGAATTATATCTACTTCTTAGAAACCTCCTTTACACTCTTCAAAGTCGGGCGCTGAAAAGAAGGTTTTCAACATTATTAAATATAAAGCACATGTTACATACCATTAATACCCACATGTCAATATCAACACAATCCTCACAGCTTGCAAACTCTGTCTGATCGGCAGCCGGGGATATACCCCACACCGGACTGGAGTCCTGCCTCAGCTGACTGGCAACAACCTGAATATGGAACTAAATCTCATCCTATCGTCATACCTGGTAGCTTGTTGATTTTTCTCTTCAGATAAAAATACAACTTTATGAGTCAATTTGAGCTGACAGACCTATAATTGGTTCTCTCAGTGTTAGGAAAGTGCGAGAACTGTATAGGAATTGTTCCTATTGAAACTGTACATTTTAAAGCATACTAACGCTGAAAACCCCAAGATTCGCCGATCACAAGACCAGTAGCAAGCGAGCACCTGCTTCAAGAGCACCTGTACAAAGCGCAGCTGTTGCGCAATGCGCTGAAACAAAGCACTCAGCACTCCGCACCTTCCCTCGACCTGAGCTCCCACTTCATGAACCCGGTGATGAACCCTGTCTCCCTGCCTAACACCCTTACTCTCACTGGTCTTACCAATGTGCTTACCAACAGATACTTGTAGCTACCCGTGCAAAAGAAGCACGTGCTAAAAACCGTGCGCATTGCATCATGCAATTGTCAGGGACCGTCTTGCCTCTTGGTCATGGTTATGTTGCAAAGTTTAGGAAACTTTCAATACATAGATAATGTGATCTGGTTTTGTAGTAGTAGCGATGTTGTCATTATTTCAGAAATAATAGAACATGTAATCCTCGATGGCACTTGTAGACTCAGGCCGGATCAATCTTAGAAACTTGTAATTGTTGCTTTTTCAGGGAACCAGGGATTTTGTTGGGATAATATATGATATGGTGTATAGAGCAACTTATAGATAGTTTTCAGTTGCTATAGCAACCAAAAAGAGAGTGTTTTAGTTGCTATAGAATGCGATTAAATGATTTGGAAATGCTGCTATCCATTTTGAGGACAATTAGTTGCTATCTTAAAACTATTTTCACTGTTTAGCCTAAGTTTTCGAAATGGATTGCATCACTCTTAATTTATATTGTAAACTTTATAATATGTGAAAACATGTGCATGCTTTAAAGTGATATTGTAATATTGTGGCATTAATCTTAGTACAACACGGATATGTAACAAACTTAAACCTACGCGCGTTATACTATTATACGCATTTAAGGTTTTTGATCTCAAAGCTAGAGGTTCGAGGACGATGAACTTTTATCGATTTAGAACACTATTTTCTACCACATTTTATATTTTTATCGGCAGGAAATCTTAAATGTTATAGCGAAGATTCATTTCAATTAAGATCCCACTGTTAAATTGGAATTTTTCAAAGTAGCGGAAAGAATATCGTTATAATTATTTCACCGCAATACCCGAGATGGCATTGTAGAATGTGCCGTACTGAAGGCATCAAGTAAAACTTGTTCTCAAGATCGTTCTGCAGTGATCTAGTATTACCACGTGCTCAAGATTTGAATCTCTACACTTAAATACCCGTGTTTAAAGTTCTGTTGTTAAAAAGGCATTGATTATATGGAACCATTGCTTTTGATATGCCACAAGTGCCAGATTCAACTGTATAAGTCATGTTAAAATCATGGCTGAATGGGTCCAAAACTTAGATTTGTTATTCTCAATTTGATGTGTTATATTTGTCGGTGCATGGAAGAGCATGTTATTATTATATTAATGAGAAAGGGAGCTATCGGCTATTACCATGTTCAATTCTACATGGTATACATTCAACATTTTACCAAATGTATAATATAACATTCCACCGATAGTACATTAAAAGACGGATCCACATTTTGTATGTAAGAAAGTGAGTCCCGTACTTGGTAACGTGTGAGGGGGCCTTGCCAGTTTGGCACGTGGCACCACCTACCTTTTCTGATTGGTTGCTCGCACTTTGGCGAGAGCTGATTCACAACAGACTGACATTGCCTCCCCACACACAGTTACTATAAGCCCATTTAAGAGATGTAAGCTTTTAAAACTGTATGTTACATCCTGTAAACATCCTAATCTGCAGATACTTTTCTAAATACCAGCTCTGTTTATAATCTATATTTATTGTATCGCCAGATTTTGCGAATTATGGCTAAAGCTGTCGTTACTTTTGAAATATCTCCCACATTCAATATAAAGGTGGTGTGATCAATACATTTTTTTCGACAAATTCACGAAACCCCCACCAGCTCAAGTTCCTATCACAATTATTTAGCGAACATGCTCACAGATATTACCCAAGCTGTGTGCGGAATACGCAGCCCCTTATGTCACTGATGTTTAACGTTTGTGTCTGAATTATATTAAAATGATATTGAAGTGCAATGTCACGAATATGTATCTTTGTAGGTTGATTGAAAGGTTGGTTAGAAAGACGGTTTAACCATAATCGGTCAATATAAGATTCTGTCTCTATTATTATTGCTTAAAAAGCAAATCTTCAGAGTTAAATGAGAATTCTAAGCTTATAATAATTGACCAAGACATGGTATCGTTTTGTAAACTAACTTTTTAACCAACCTTTCGACTAATCAATAAAGGAACACATACGTAATAATATGATAAGTGTAGTAAAGATTAAAGAATGTTGAAATATATACAAGTGGGATCGGATGGATATTCAGGGTAGAAACCAACGGAACACAATAAAAACAAACTTGAACACAGTATTTAACTTATTTAAATTTTTTAAATTTCCGTTGATTTCCACTCAAATCTCATCCTATTATATTATTAAAACTTATTCTGCTTCCAAGCCACCACTATTATGAAGGTATGTACGATATGTATTCGCTTGGTTATTACCAATATATTTTGATATTGCAAAGTGATAACCGGGCCTTGTATTGAGAGAACTAGAGAGAGAGAACTAAAGGAGAACGTCCGGGATGAATGTCCGGGTCTTGAGGTCGGTATTACGTCAGGTAGTAGATTCTTCACATATTTATTAGATAAAATACGAACCGAATTAATTTCTTCAGTGCATTTTACATGAGAGGCTTTGTGTTTTATTTTTTTAGTATAATGACATTTAATTGACAACAATGAATAATACGATGTTAACATATAAATTAGTCGGGAAGTGTGTACAAATTGCTAGAAAATGGATAATTTCAGTCAACCTGTCTTTATTTGCAGAGCTTGGTAGATTACATCTTCAAACTCTAATTAAAGATAGCAGAACGGGCCGAGATAATTGACTTTTCTCAATCACCAATAAAAACGTTAATTTTTTGCCAATTCTGCTGCTTGACATAATAAGATTGAACAATGTCATATTGTTCGCCAATATTATTCGCGTTTAGTAAAAATCCTAACTTTTCAAGTGTCCAATCGGCGTGCTTCACTTCCGCCCACTGAGTCAATATCTGTTCCATCTCATAATCCCAGTAATAAAAACATCCTCGTTAGAAATTAATACAGTTCATCCTGGAGTATCAGATGAATCATCAGAATGATCAAACTTGAGAACCTTTCTCCTCTTCTTCTTCTTCATCTTCCCACTCCCTTTCTTCACTTCCACCTTCTGTTCCGCCGCCCCACTAAACGCCGGATTACAATGAATTTCAGTGTCACTGTTCGTGAACCCATCTGAATTGTGCAGACATTGTTCCGTGGCGTGGTGATCAAACCCGCACATAACACAGGTATTATCCTGTAACCTTGTCTCGTTGATATCACTGATTATTGAGTCTAGCAGACTGAGTTTGCCCATTAAAGATGTCGGTGATGGAGGAGGCAGTTTCTTGTGAAGGAATGTGGCAGGGGAGGGACAACTTTTTAAAAACAAGACTGGTTTGTGGACATTATCAAACCTCTCCTCCCTGTCCGTGTCCCCGTCAATCACGATCTCTGGATTGTCTTCCAGATCTATCTCGTGCATTGAAGCAACAGATACAGGCCTGGATTTAGATTCAAACACGTCGCTATTCAGAGCATACTTGCCGCTTTTCTTCATCTTCCTGATCACCCCAGGCTCGTAGTGATATGACTCTCGTCGGGACGAGTTTAGGTCCTCGGGATCTGAGTCATCGGGGAAGAAGTTAGATTCTTGGTCAGCAGTGAAGCAGAGAGCATCGAAACCGGGTGTTGTGGGTGTGGTGGGTTCTCCGTCAGGACCTTCTTGTGACGTTAACTTTAGTTGCTGTGACGTCATTTCACTTCAACTTCTTTCTTTGTGCATCCTTGTGACAGTATTTAAGTTTTATTCAATTTCACAAGCGGTAATTCGGAGAAAATATGCGAGACATGATAAAAACAAATCAGATTCTCAGTCATGCAAAAAGTGGTCTAATAGGATTAAATTCTGGTCGGTGGCCAATTCGTTAATTCGTAAACAAGGACACAAACACACGCGAAACTGTGGACAACACACTGTACCGAAACAACAAAATATCCTGCAAAACGACCAGCAACCCACGTAACAGCTTTTAACAAACTGCCACGCTTTTAGTCATGAGAGAAGCCCGCAAACTGTTGATGTGTAAAAATGTAGTATGTTGAAATAATGAAATATATTTCAGACGGCTCTGGTAGGAATGTTATAGATTTAACAAATGTCAGCGAGCGAGCGTGTGTGTGTGTGCACTGGATTAGCTCAAGGTTGTGTGTTAAATATCATCTTCAAAATGTGGCTACAAGTACAAGTACAAACAAACTGTGTGTTAAAATATGCATTATATTATCATAGAATAAGGACGTGACTGTTCAAATTTAAAAGCGTAACATTTTGTTTTTCGGAGAACGTATTTTTTTTGCGTGGTGTTCAACTTCAAATTGGCATGAAAAAGCCTACATTTATCTGAAAGTGAAAGCCTAAGCTATACGAATAACGAAACACTAGGAAACGGCGAAATTGAATTGTCAATACGAAGCTTTGACATGAGCTGTAATATACATGCAATTAAAGGAAACTGCTGTAGATGCAACGAATCGGAATAATATGTAATAGCGAATATGTGCCATTACACTTACAGTGGCGGCGGCTCGCACAAGCATCTATATTATAATAATCTGAGAGCGCAATGTGTACTATATGAGTTGAGTTGTTATCAGGCAAAACTAGCTGCTAGACGTAGCACTGTTGTTGTATACAGCAGCAAGCTAGGCCACTACAGAAATTAGTCAGTTAGGAATTTAAGGCACTAACAACTAATAGAGGAATCTGATGCGAGAAAACTAAAACTTTTAAAGTTATTTACGGTGAGTGGTATGTATTTATACATGTAATTTGTAAAGATTCTAGTGTAGTGCAGCTGGACTCGTCATCTTAAATAAGGATATTACGAAATGATAAGCCAGTAGATGAGCTTGTTGATGTTTTTGTATCCGGTTAGAATTTGGTAAATGGTCACGGCGAATAGTAGAATTTGACTTTTGAGGTTTCATGCGATGAAACATGTCCGAGTGACGTCTCTCTTTCTCTCGCTGTCCTCGCTTTGACTACCAAATATATATGTAGCATATTTAGTATAGCTTATATTATAATAATAACTAGTGTAACCCGGCCTTCGGCCGGGATTTCACTGCCGCAGTTAAAAAGGGTAGGAGCATTTACCCGTTGAGTCAAAACCCGCATTAGGTGAGCAATTCTATTCGGAGTGCCCTCACGTATCCAATGGTATCTTAAACAATAGTAATAGTATCTTAAACAATAATCAATATAAATTAACCTTTAACACCACACCCGCCTATCATATTTGTGAACACGCATAACATTGTCGTATGAAAGTATGAACTCTCTCTCTGCAGTCCAAACAGTGCCCCCTCCCCTAATAAGATTATAGTATAGACAGCGCGAATCTTACCCGGGTAACTCAATTACACTAATTATGCAGCTACATATGCGAGCCCCGTAACTCTTACCGTTCTGCTCAAGCAATTTTATGTAACATTTGTGGTACAAAACCATCAATTAAACCACTTACCAACGACCGATTTAAAAAACCTTTATCATTTAACTTCGTCAGAGTTTTGTCGGCACTTTACCGAAAAAATCAGTCCCGCAACTCTTACCGTTTTCTTGATTAAGCCGCTCGGAAATTACAAACAGACAGACAGACAGACAGACAGACAGAAAACACACATTCTGGGATTATTAGTTAGATAGTAGTATAGTACCGTTACATCAACAGTTTGTCACTAAGATCGGCCAATTTCAACTTCGACCGAAGTTGGTTTACGTGTAGCAAATCACCTTTTTCCAGCTCATGTTAAACAGGTACTTGCCTCCAAGGAACGACTTACTCTGCATTTAACATAACTCTTAGTCACTACATAAAAAATTCAAATTGTAAGACCCCATCTCCTACTGCTGGTCCCTTTCTATCACCAACACGTGAACCAACTTCGCGAACATAGGGTAAAGCGTAAATTGGCTGAATTATACTAAAAAGTCAATTAAGTCCTATGTATAATGGACAATGATATCCCGGATTCAGCAAATTATGTGTCGCTCTTAATGTTCTAATTTTGAAGGAATGAGTCCACAAACCGGAGGATTAATTTTGACCAAAGATTAGACAATAGACAAGCCACTGAATGACGGAATGATTGTTGCAAAATGAAACCCTGAAGCCTCTTGAAGCATTGTTAACAGCATTTCTTTCGAATTCATAAATGTTAAGGACCGTCATTATATTAGACATTGCAAGGACACGAAGCTCATTCAGGTGCCGGTAGTAATTGGCATGCCTCTGACTTAAAAGAAATTTAGATCATTCTAGATTCTAGGACTGATAATTTCAGGGGAAGTTTATCTCGTTAAGTGATCTATTACGGGTAAATCTAAAATTGAAGCAGTAGCAGAGGTCACTGATTATCTGCCAAAGCCTCTGAAACTGTGACCGAAATTCAAAAATGGGGCAAAACAGTTGGACGGTTCCATGCTTTATTTTCGCGCGCGCGTGCGCGCGTCAAGGGATTGCGCTAAGTTATTAGATTATGAATCAACGCGGCTTACGGCGACAAACATTAGTAGACCTTATCAACATGGACAATAGACAAAAACAAGGTTGCTTATTATCTTACATTTGTCGAAAGCAAGGGAAACAGTAATGAGTAATTGATAACGAATAAATACTTATATAAATAGCCTTAGCTAGAATTATACATTTAAATAGCAAACGACATAAATGTATAGTGTACCTATATCAGATTAATAACGTACATGATCATAATATTTACGTACAATAATCATTCTAAAGCGAGTAATACTGTAAATGACAGGTTACATATATCTTATTTTAGTATAAAATTAAAGTTGGTTTGAGATCTAATATATATCATCACTTAGAAAAATAAAGAAAGCAGTTTTCGAAAAAAAAGGCTTACAATTTACATGCGGAAATTATAAACGAAGCAAGAAAATAACTTTAAAGCTAACAATAAATATCTCCTAAACACATGAAAAACTCTCGAAAATGTGACATAAGAACAGAACTATAAGTAAAAGAATAACTAGGAAATTACAAACACAAAAACAATTTACAAGCACACACAAACGCAAGATAAAGAAGACGCACAAAGAATTATATAAAAGTCTACTAAGATGTTGCTACAATAATGTCACTTTAAAATAGCAGTGTTGACAACTATCACTGCTTGACATGTTATATACGCGGTCAGTTAAAACCTACGATATAAGTCAATTTGGTCGGAGGTGTAAGCTTTTTAATTAGTCTCATACATCAAAACACATTTTCTAATACATCTAATTAACGTTATTTTAAATAAACTTCAAACTTGGAAAAGCATAGAGTATATAATAAAGTCGAGATGGCTGTGTTGCCATTAATATATCATCGTTATTATTTAAGTTGTAAAGTTGTAAAGAAGGGCCCGGTAACAATTCCAAAACAAAACATCACCGCAAACATTATCTGACAATTCTGAAGACAAGGTGGTGTAGTGGGGCAAGTAATTATGTCATTAACTAATTACTATAATCACCCCTAATAAGTCATTTCCTAATCATTAGAGCATAAAATTGGGAATATTCCTGGAGAGACGTACCATTAGGTTTTAAACGTTTAAAGAGGTTATGATGTGACATGTACAAAGTTTATATTATGTACAGATTATTATTTGAATATTTAGAGCAGATAGCATATATAATGTTGAAGATATGCAGTGGAGGACTAGACTTAAAATACTTGTCAGTTCTCGTGATTTTATCGTACATAATTTTCAAAATCCAAAACCCATACATTTGATAATTTTAAGGATACGTTGTTTTCTTTTTTATAATGAGTCGATAAATGTCTCTGTTTGTACATTTATTTCCGAATAGTGCATAATATTTAGATGACTTACAAGTCACAAAAGTTTTAAATAAAAGTAAAGTTATCACAGTATCACATACTTCAGCGTAAAGTTTTGTAATATTATATGTAGTACAGTTTTCCGTATAATAGTATATTTCTTGCTGTCACTTTTTAAAGGAATGTTTTCTTTTTTTGTTCAGTACCAGCCACGATACTTCCGCAATAAATAATATAATAACTTCTAATTAAATACTACATAATATAATAATTGATAATCATAATATTTTACACTGATTAATACTCATGTCAATGTTACTCAATACATGCTAATTCTTGGCTGAACTTCCGATTCTGGTACTTTTGCGCTTTCCGGACGGAGAACAAACGCACTGCTCAGCTCCACAGCATGCTGATGTTGAACTTGTTGAAATAGTTGAACTTGTCGAGGGTGTGATTTCTTTCTCAACAGATGCTGATGCCACATCTGTTTCAACCACTTTCTTTCCTGAAGTTTTCACACAATTTTAAAACAAGTACTAATTATAGGATTAGATTGGTATAAAATTGAATATTTATAATTTATAAGGCGGGAAATTAGCAATACTATACAGTATACAGTATACTACTAGTACATTGAATAACATTTGATATTCCGAATTTCCGACTCACCTGACTTGGTCTGAGAAAGTATTCTAAAGTAGTCAGGTTTGTGGTATGTGGGCGAAGAACCGTAGCCAGCATCTGAGAGAAATAAACTAAATTCCAAGTAATGTTGCAATCAGGAAATAACATGAATTCCAGAAACTTTTAGTGTTTGATTATTGTAGTGTGGGAGACATAAAAGGTATTTTAACAACATTCTCAGCGTTGTTTGATTTTATAGGGTAAATTCCCAGGGCCGGGTATAACTAATATATGCGTCATTGATTAAATATTTTCTTTCGTTATCGCGAACACCAATCATCCTTAAAACTTAGAACAAATATATAACAATCTCCACATTAAGTAATCATAGAAGTAAAGATTAAGTAATCATCATATTATCAGAACATTGTCTATTTGACTTAGTCTTTCCAACCACTTGCACTTTGTAACTTAATATGTAGGTAAATTAACGTAAGTGCTAGCTAACCAAGATAACGGGACAGTTTAAAGGTTTAACCAGACAACTACATAAAACCATATAATATCATATAATATACGGGTAAATATGCTAAATATGCAGCATTATATTATAGAAGTGTCAGTTTGGTTTAGAGATTACTCTGTTAAAGTATCTCATAGTTTAACTGTCTGTAATTCGTTGTCTAAGGAATGGTCGTGGGTAGAGCCCTGTTTTGCTACCTGGTGTATTTCACTCTTTTATTTCACTATATTTCACCCTGTTTCACTGCTCTACTCTTACTAGAAAGCCAACTCAAATACCACTTTTATTGAGAGTTATCTAGTTACGTTTGAAAGTGGTTATACTCTGGTCGAGTGTTAGAGGAACTAAAGTTTTAATGCCACCTTCATAATCCATGTTGTGACTTGTAACTCAGGGTCACGGATCAATTTCTACAGTATTAATATGAATAAGGACACAGATTCTAGCCAAAGGGAACTAGGGTAGATTTCGAATTTTCTGGGATCAGACAAATTAACTTAACTTACTAGGTAACATGTTTGTGATGTGTTATAATAGGTAATTATAGGTAATTATAGGTAATATGTTGCCTCCGTTTGTTAAACCTGTGTCAGATCCGAAGCTGGGTCTTCTAATTAGATGTCCAGGGGTCTGTATGACGTCATGATGTGTGACGTCATGATGTGTGACGTCACAATCCTCCTCGTCACTAAAACAGAAGGAGGATTGTGTTTCTCTGATGGTGGTAGATCTGCTCCGTATCTCGACCTGGGCATTTCATTGTGGGTAGTCATTATTGAGAATGTAGTGATTAATTATACATTATTATCAAAATCGTGAAGTAATTATGTGATTAAGATTTATTAGATCTCTAAAGAGCAGTGACTGATTAATGACTAGATATTTAATTTAGTGTAGAATATATAAATGATACAGGATCTGCTATTTGTGTGTAATAAGTACGGCCTCGTGAGTGATTTCGTGAGCATCATCAAAAACTAAAATGTAATGAATAGAATGTGCATTCGAGAATGAGTCAACAGAAGGTAGAGTTATTATCAAACACAATATCTTAAATTATGAAAAAATAAAGGTATCATCTGAAAACCCTAATTCATGACCTGTTCAAATTCACAGTAAGAATGTACAAACCACACTATATCATTATGTACATAGTACATACATATTAGTATGTAATATGTATTATTAGTAATTAGTGTATCAATATATATGTTTGTGATGTATCAATGCTAGTTTGACTTCTAGACCCACGCCAAGCTTTCCAAAATGTGTAAAGGAATGTGGACAACAAAAAAGCGGCTTTACTCGCTCCTCTTCAACAAGTTCGGTGTGTTCAAGTGCCGGTATCAGGTTAATTAAATAAATTAAGTTAATTTGGCTTAATAAAATGGGTAAAATAAACGAATGTAAAGTTGATCGATGAATAATGATTTTCAACTAGCACCCAATTAGACTTTCTTATAAAGAATCCTCTGTGGAATTACACAGGTAAAGTTGTAACCGTGTCCGGTTTCATGAATGTTTAACAAATAATTTTCTTAAATGGATATATAATCTACATTCTACAATCTACATATTATAATGTATTTTAAAATTAATAAAATGTAACTTTCCATTAAGTTAAATGTTCCTTATCACCAAGTTAATTAATACAAGTTGATAACTTATTGTAATATTTACGAAGAGAGAAACACCTACCTTCTGAAATGTGTACCGTCTTGCAGGGTAAGAAACGTATCTCAAGTAAAGATAATCTTGGTAATCGAGATATGTCCGGGAGAATGTGTACAGGACGAACACTACTGCTAACAGTAGTCTGTCTGTCGTCATTACTTTGCTGCAGGTAATTAGTAGGTGATTAGATAATTAGTCTTAATTATAGGAAAGTGATTGAAATGCAATGAAAATGGCGTAAAATGTCGCTCCTGCGCGACTTTTGCGCCAAAAGTGGAGAATATTCCATATTATATTCGTAACATTTTATCGTAATCAGAATCTGTATCTTTTCTTTCTTTCGCGATGTTTTTCATAGTTGTTTAACTAATTGACCGATTTATGATGATCAACGGTAACTGAGAAAACGTTACTTATACATTTGTTTGGGGAAAATAAGATACGTATCTTTTATCGTTTTACCACCTTTTAAATAAGTATTCCTTGTGAATAACTTACTTTATACGGATCAGGACGAATCCAACAACATACCACAATGAAGCCGAACTTGACATATCTACATATCTTACATAATATCTACATATCTAACGATATTAACATTTATACAAAATATATATAGCATTCCCATCATTCTTGTGAGATATTTTATATTATAAGCCTAGGGTGAGGTACACAGTAGTGTATATAATATCAAATATGTGGGTATCATCTGCCCTCGCATCGTTTTAGACCCGATTTTAAACATGGCGTGGAAATAATCCCAAGTAATATAGACTAGTAGCTCCATGTAGACTACATATTATAAACTAGTAGCTCCATATTGTAGACTACATATTATAAACTAGTAGCTCCATGTAGACTCTATATAATTATAAACTAGTAGCTCCATATTATAAACTAGTAGCTCCATGTAGACTCCATATTATAAACTAGTAGCTCCATATTATAAACTAGTAGCTCCATGTAGACTCTTACTAGTAGCTCCATTATAAACTAGTAGCTAGTAGCTCCATATTATAAACTAGTAGCTCCATGTAGACTCTATATAATTATAAACTAGTAGCTCTATATTATAAACTAGTAGCTCCATGTAGACTCTATAAAATTATAAACTAGTAGCTCCATATTGTAGACTACATATTATAAACTAGTAGCTCCATGTAGACTCTATATAATTATAAACTAGTAGCTCTATATTATAAACTAGTAGCTCCATGTAGACTCTATATAATTATAAACTAGTAGCTCCATATTGTAGACTACATATTATAAACTAGTAGCTCCATGTAGACTCTATATAATTATAAACTAGTAGCTCCATATTGTAGACTACATATTATAAACTAGTAGCTCCATGTAGACTCTATATAATTATAAACTAGTAGCTCTATATTGTAGACTACATATTATAAACTAGTAGCTCCATAGTCCATATTATAAACTAGTAGCTCCATATTATAAACTAGTAGCTCCATGTAGACTCTATATAATTATAAACTAGTAGCTCTATATTGTAGACTACATATTATAAACTAGTAGCTCCATAGTCCATATTATAAACTAGTAGCTCCATATTATAAACTAGTAGCTCCATGTAGACTCTATATAATTATAAACTAGTAGCTCTATATTATAAACTAGTAGCTCCATATTGTAGACTACATATTATAAACTAGTAGCTCTATATTATAAACTAGTAGCTCCATGTAGACTCTATATAATTATAAACTAGTAGCTCCATATTGTAGACTACATATTATAAACTAGTAGCTCTATATTATAAACTAGTAGCTCCAGCCCTGCAACAGCTGTACATCACTACTGAGCGGGAAATTCAAACTCTTAATAATATATAATATAACACTATTTAACCAACTATAACATTAACCGGCTCACTTAGACTAACTAATATAACGACTGGTACTCATTGGTTGCCTAGCAACCACGTGACTATCACGTGGCAATTAGTGTTGTCACAAGCGGTTTCAGTCGAGTATGAACATTTCTCAGCGGCAATTACTGGATTTAAACGTGATGTCATGAAAAGTTTCGAAGTTAATTTCATGATAGCTAGGAAATGAGGCATTCTGTTTGCACCCTTCAGGAAATAATATACGGAAAATGCCCACTTCTATACATGGACATTGGCCGATGATGCGTTATTAAAGTAGTCAGTAAGTTAGTGATTTAAGTTGGTTAGTAATACTACAAGTCTGTTCAGTAATTGATACATTTTGGCACTTTCATTAAACTTAGTCCGGTCACACAACAAGTGATAACATGTAAAATTGGGTAAAACACAATAGCTACTAGTCCAAACATTCAGTAGAATATTAAAATAACTAACTCCAGAATAGCCCCCACCAAATTTCAATGATGAATTTAGGTATCATTTTCTTAAAACATTGAAAACTCTTTGCATATTCTGGCAATTTCCAAGGCACTTAATTATCAATCTGTACATGAACAGTAATTGGATCAATGGGTAGTTTAATTGGTGGCCTACTGCTTCTTATTATAGCGGCAGTTCACACTCGATCTGACTAGAGGTCTAATTCGATCACGGCAGGGTTGCCCCTGACATCATGCTTGCAACTAATTATCGGGCGAACCGTGGTTTATAGGAAGTTCAATTAGAGCATAATATTCCGACATATAATCTGTATGCTATTGCTGTGGATATTGTGTTTCTCTTGCTGTGTTTAGTCTACACTGGACCTCTCTAGTCCCTGTCTTCCCTTGTTTACGATCTACACTCTGTGTTTTGTGTGCAGTGATTTGACTTTGTTGCTGCAGTTGTATAGACTTGAGATGTGGAATTTGACAGTTGAATCATTTTATTTTTTTCCGTACCTCGACTAACGACCGCAAGTATTTCGTTCCTAAACTTGAATAAAGGAATAAAGGTGTACACAATTATTTCAGAGACCTAAAAATGGAAGGATATCTCAAGAACGGGAAAGATATCTACGATACGTATTGTACGTCAACAGAAACACGCCCGATCATGCTACCTAAAGCTCCACAACACACGTATATTGACGTATACCCAGATGAAGATGAGCCTGGTCCCAGTTTTAGGGATGATCAACAACATCAGTTGGACTATGAGACCGAAGTTGTAGTTTATAGAGCACTGGAGGGGCTAAAAGATGAAGATATAATCGTTCTACACAGTTTCGAATATACTCACCGTCAATATCAGTTGTGTGATGAAAGTCATGTTAGAAAGGATTGTATGGCTTGCAAAAAAACACCTAACAATCGCGATGGGGAGTGCGATTTTTTTATCATAGGAAAAAACTATTTTGTGATCATTGAAGTGAAGAATATGTCAAGTTTTACTGAAGCAAAACAGCAGGACTCTGGACTCAATGAACAGCAGCATAGTTTAGGTTTGCAGGGAACCTTCAAGAAATCAGTGGCACAGAGGAAACGAATGGTGAAATTGATCAGAAGCATTGAGAAGAGCACAAATATCTCTCACTTTACAGCTTATCCTAACTTCACGAGGAAATTCAGGGCAGAATTCAACTTGAAACCTGATCAGATATCATCGATTATATTCAAAGAAGATACTGAAGATTTAGCATCTTGGTGGAAAGGCAATGTTGCAGATTTTCACATGGAAGATGCTCTGAACTCTGATCTTCGAGGAAAACATGAGAAAGTCAGGAACATGCTGCTTGCTATTTGGTGCACGGATAATAAGGGCAACTGTGACAAATCCAAGTGTAATTTGGGCAGGTGTATACAGGATATTAATGATAAACTGCTCAGTGGAAATTTTACGTTCAGGAAAAACAATCCAAACGTAATTCCAGCCCCTGATGTCATTAAGGAGTACCTAGGAGTGAACAACCTAACTAAGGAGCAGCTTGATGCATACAATTCAGAAGAAAAGTTAGTTCTTATCGATGGCCCCGCAGGAACAGGTAAAAGTGTCATACTGATAGCTAAAGCAATACAGGTTGTTAAGTATAAGAATAGAAAGATCATATTTTTCGCTTCTCAAACCACAGCCGAGAAAAATATTAAACCTGCTTTTGAAAAAGCAAATATACGCCACTGGACACTACCCAGGGATGAAACTAAGGCGCTGACCAGGATGCAGATTATTCAGATGATATCCGTCAAATTGATTGATAATCAAGTTATCATCATTCATTGTCCAGAATATGTGGCGCACGGTGGCTTGGCGGATGTCTTCGGGAGTTACGAAGGAAACCTAAAGTTTAATGCAGAATTTATTAATTCACATGCTAATTGTGATGTGTTTCTAGACGATGCCCAAAATAGTCAGGGCAATAATCATAATTATAATAACATTATTACAACATTATTTCAAGTGCCGAAAGGTAATCGGGGCGATCGTTATATTTGGACAACATTAGACTTTCAACAGAATGCTGTGTGTATATCACAGCCATCGCCAGCGCAACTGTCAAATCCCCCCTTTCACACAGTTAATCTATCAAAAAATTTGAGAAACACCTACGATATATCAAATAGTCTATCAGTGATGAGACACCACATAGAAGACGTAAGGAAACGAAGAGGAATATTGACAGGCTTTTCAAAGGAGATCACCGTCAAACAAACACCAGGTCATTACATTCGTGGACCAAAAATCAACATACACGTTTTTAAGAGCGGTGATGTTGATTTGATAGGCACTTACCTAGATAAAGAACTAGACAAGCTGCACGGCGTAAATACAGCTGTGCTACTTCATGTGACTGCAGATAGCGGACCGGACAAACAACTTACTCTTAGGTATTCTGATACCGTTTTAAGTTCTATGTCAACCTCTTCAGGGGAATGGCCAGCAGTCATTGTTATACACTCTTTTACGGTAAATTACCTGCCCATTTTGTACTTAGCTATGTCCCGAGCTAGAGTGTACTGTTCAGTTTTGCTATTTCCAGGCTATGATCAAGACTCTTGTAGTACGCTAGATTTGGAAAAATTCTTATCGGGTGATATCAAAGACTGTGCTAATATCTTCAGACATTATGGCAATTCGGTAAAGTGTCGATGGTCAGATGGTGCAACATGGTGTCAACACGGAGAATTGATTCCAAGCCAGGTGCAGAGTGCAGACTCAATTTAAACAAACTATGATGTATTTTTGATATAATACAATTAAGAATGACTCTGTATTAATTGAGTATTGATTCCAGTACAAATTTAACTGAAAAATTATGCTGTATTTATTAATAAAACATAAACTTAGTTTCAATTATTGATTCATATAAGAATTGAGCTTCTTTACTCTATCATATACTACAGTGGTATTAACATTGTGCTAAGTGTTCAGTGAGACACTAATTTAAACACTATGATGATTATATATGAATTTTACTTGATAGAGTGCTTATCTTAAAGTTAAATGTTTTTACAGGCTCTAAGGATGTAGTTTTACGAAGATTTCAAGCCTTGCTTTGTGTGTTTCCCTTCGTGTCCAAAAGCATTAAAATTTAAACTCTAGTATAAACTATAACCAACTGCGGTGAATATTTTCCAAATGAAAAGCTCGATTATAGGTACTTAAAATGAACACCAAATACTTCTACCACTTTCTTATCTTAGTTACACTCAGCGTGTAGGTTACACTGAGCGTGTAAGTTACACTGAGCGTGTAAGTTACACTGAGCGTGTAGGTTACACTCAGCGTGTAGGTTACACTGAGCGTGTAGGTTACACTGAGCGTGTAGGTTACACTGAGCGTGTAGGTTACACTCAGCGTGTAGGTTACACTGAGCGTGTAGGTTACACTCAGCGTGTAGGTTACACTCAGCGTGTAGGTTACACTGAGCGTGTAGGTTACACTGAGCGTGTAGGTTACACTGAGCGTGTAGGTTACACTGAGCGTGTAGGTTATAACACTCAGTGTAAGTGAGCAAAACATCCTAACAAGTTACACGCCATGGTAAGAACTGCTATATTCTCGCTACAGAACTACCCGCTAATTTAGAACCAAGGTTAAAGAGGGCTATGTCATGTCTGTCATCAGCTCATTAAGTCTGAGAGCGGCCAAGTTAGGGCATGTAACACTGCTCATCAGAGGTGAGGATAGTCCTGATTGTACGTACTGACCAATTGTACATTACACTTGTATAACATGCAAGGTGCATTGTATAAGGTGCAAGGTGCACGGTATCTTTTACATTATGCATTGCACCACAAAAAGGTTCTCATTAGTCACCAATCAGAGTGTACTCATCTGTCCACTATTGTATCAACGAAATAAGATGCATCGTTTTGGTAGGCATCATGTAGCCTCCAGGCTCGACAAACCCCGACAAACCCCGACACACCCCGACAAACCCCGACAAACCCCGTTTGTCGGGGTTTGTCGAGGGGTTTTGCCTCGGGCCCACCGGCGACATGAGGCCTTCTTGTGTAGTGTTTTTCCACGTAAAGCTTGATGACTCCGTCTCGGCTTTTTGTTGGGAGACTCAAAAAAAAAAAAAGCCTCCAGGCTCGACAAACCCTGACAAACCCCGACACACCCCGACAAACCCCGACAAACCCCGACAAACTCCGACAAACCCCGACAAACCCTGACAAACCTCGACGTGTCGAGATATGTCGGGCCCACCGGCTACATAATGCCTTATGGTTATAATCGTTATGGTTACAATCGTTATGGTTACAATCGTTATGGTTACGATCGTTATGGTTACAATCGTTATGGTTACGATCGTTATGGTTACAATCGTTATGGTTACAATCGTTATGGTTACGATCGTTATGGTTACAATCGTTATGGTTACAATCGTTATGGTTATAATCGTTATGGTTACAATCGTTATGGTTACAATCGTTATGGTTACGATCGTAGTGACAATAATGAAAGATATGTAGCAGTGTACATCATATTACATGTAGTTCTGAGTAACCGTATTGTATTGCGCTTTTGAATTCCGCAGATATTTGTGTAAAGTATAACATGCATCTTAGTGCTGGAATCCTAATCAGGCAAAGATTAGCTCCAATTACTTTAGCGTCTTAACAGAGCTCTACAAGATTCTTCACAAATCTAGTAAAATAATATCAGAGACCGCTATTTTATGCAACTACTCTTCAATCTTCACTTAGAGCTGAACACGATAAGAAGTAAAAATCATGGATAGAACTTCAACCTGGTAACCTTGTTGCCTGCACAAGAGCAATTACACGTTTTTAAAGGCATGGTAATAATAAGAGTGTGTCCCACAACCAAGCACACTGCCTAGAAGTCCGGCGTTATGTTTTATAATGATCCTGGACCTAAGTGGCAAACTGCTCTATACAAAAAATGATAATAATAATAAGATCTTATCACATATCCGATCATGTGATAATATGTCCTGGTTAGCTCACACCTCACATATTGTATCAGTACCCACTCCCCACATGTATCAGTACCCAATTATAACTGAAACCTCCAACCCAAACATTCCCCTTACCATCATATGATTCTAGAAAAACAAGATATAAACAAGATATAAACAAGATATAAACAAGATATAAACAAGACCAATATATAAACAAGATATAAACAAGATATAAACAAGATATAAACAAGATACAAACAAGATATAAACAAGATATAAACAAGATACAAACAAGATATAAACAAGATACAAAAAAGATATAAACAAGATATAAACAAGATATAAACAAGATATAAACAAGATATAAACAAGATACAAACAAGATATAAACAAGATACAAAAAAGATATAAACAAGATATAAACAAGATATAAACAAGATATAAACAAGATATAAACAAGATATAAACAAGATATAAACAAGATATAAACAAGATATAAACAAGATATAAAACTAACCAAGAAAGCAGAAGCACGAGAGGTCCCACAGCTACAGGGTGTCTGTAATGTTCCAGAACTCTCCTAGCTCCTTTAGACTTGTAGTAGATGGGCTCCTCCAGTCCGCGCTCTTCGTTGGAAATCTGAGGGATATTTCACTAATTGTACTGTGATGACTGCTGGATGATAAGTGCTGACAATTAATGGCTCAGCAAATATGTGCGGTCACACTCCCAGGCAAAAGCTCAAAAGGGGTTCAGAAATCAAGTTTTTTAAATATTTCCAGCTGTCTGCAGCAGATTCCGAACAGAAACAGAATCAGTACAAAACTAAAATATATTAAAGTTCTTAGTATATTATATATGTACTAGTGTAACCCGGCCTACGGCCGGGATTTCACTGCCGCAGTTAAAAAGGGTAGGAGTAATTACCCGCTGAGTCAAAACCCGCATTAGGTGACCCAATAGTTTCTTAAACAATAATCTCATAATCAGTTATTTCTTGTGGATAATTTAATCATTATTAGGCACCACATTCCATGATCATAAGGTCTGAACACCGAGTATTACACCTCATCACTCCCGTCCTGAACCGCTTAAATCGTTATAGAAATTAACCCTTGTTAACTCCGCACCACACCCGCATATTATATTTGAAAACACGCATAACATTGTCGTATGAACTCTCTCTCTCTCTCTCTCTGCAGTCCAAACAGACCCCAAACACTAACAGTACTCCCTCCCCTAATAAGCTTAAGGTATAACATTACAGCAAATCTTCCGGGCTAATCCAATTATGACGCTACTTAAATGCAGCAGATAACATATTACACAGTAATGAGAGAGAGCGAGAGAAAGAGAGAGCAGGCCCCGTAACTCTTGCCGTTCTGCTCAAGCAACTTTATGTAACATTTGTGGTACAAAACCATCAATAAAACCACTTACCACCGGCCGATTTTTAAAAAAATTTCCTATGGGCTTCATCAGAGTTTTGTCGACACTATACCGAAAAAATCAGTCCCGTAACTCTTACCGTTTTTTTTGTATAACCGACCGGAAATTACACACGGACAGACAGACAGACAGACACACACACACACACACATTCTGGTGTTATTAAGGTGATAGTACTGCAATACTAACATGTTTGAAGCCGAAGAGTTCCATGAAATCAGCTAAAAGAACAGATGAAACAAGCCAAGTCCAGGCCAGAATGTGGAGAGCTTGTACGGTAGAAGTTGTAAGTGAGAGGGAGTAAAGGACACTACAGCGAGACCACAAGTAGTTTATCACCTGTAATTATACATTGTTATTAATTAGAGGACACTACAGCGCGACCATAGGTAGTTTATCGCCTGTAATTATACATTGTTATTGATTAGAGGACACTACAGCGCGACCATAGGTAGTTTATCGCCTGTAATTATACATTGTTATTGATTAGAGGACACTACAGCGCGACCATAGGTAGCTTATCACCTGTAATTATACATTGTTATTAATTACATGGCAATTACATATCTATTAAACCCTGTACATATCAACTAAATAATATGTATTACATATTCATTATAGTTTTTATCTTGTTCAACCCTTGCTTCAAGTTGCTGCATTTAGTGTTCCTAATTAATTCTCATCCCCCGGGACAAATTAACCTCTCATTAAATATACCTAATATGACTTATTACGAGTGATCAGTTATATTATGTATAAAGAATATTGTTCTAACGTGATATTAAAACTGGTTAACGAGCTAAACGAGCTAATAGAGATGTTTCAGTGTTTACTTTTCTGCAGAATGTAATGAGAATCATGTTTCCGTCACCTTTTTCTTAATACCGTCCCTTCTTTCCGTTTGTCATGTCAATTTTGATAGTAGGTTATTACTATAAACCAAGTCGGCATACCGGATTACAAGTTACTGCTGATTTAGTCCTGATAAGTTAACACTAGAACTTATTATTTAGATTTGAGAGCATTACTTCTTTACTTTCCAATATTATGTTTATATCATTGATTAAATCTCAATTTTGTAAAGAATTCGTTTTAAATTTCAAGTTTCTTATCAAATTTTGTTTTAATAAGAAACACAACACAGTAACTGTCACATAACTTGCAAATCAGACAGATGCTGGCCCACAATAGCTAGATATTACATTTCCGCTCTCAACCGTCAATAAGTATTGCAGTTCTATACGGGAAGTATATCTGAAGGCCCCAGTGACAATACCTCTCTTCATTACAATATAATGTGCTAACACCAGCCCACTTACCACGCAATAAAGTGGTGTACAGTGCCTGTAATTGTATCTGAGTGACCTGTAGCAACAGTCCTGTCTGTAGGAGGAAGCAGCGTTGCTAGGAGATAGGGAGTGTAGGATTGCTTGCGGAGGGACATGTAATGGTGTGTGGAGATATCTACCACGGTGTAATGATCTAATTGCTAATTACTTGGTCACGTGGGAGGTGTGGAGTTGAAGGTTTTAAAGTCTGCAGTGAGCTGGTAAATTGTGGCTGTATTTAATCTAGTGAATTCGAGTTTTTTTTCCACTGTTATACATTGTTGACTATTCTTATTGTATTTGTAACCAGTGCCGAATCCTGTAAGTATCAATTACTCCGAGGGGATCTAATATAACAGAGCTATAAGTTTATAACACTTTATAACACTTTATAACACTTTATAACACTTTATAACACTTTATAACACTTTTTAGTAGAGCCCTCTATTATATACTTATATAATGGTTTAATGACAGGTAGACGCCTCATAACGCCTCATTAAAGGATTATCTCCCAGGTTGCGGCAGATTATACAGATTATAACTCCTAGAAGATTCTATTTATAGGAAATAGTGGTTTTATCTTGGGAGGATATTGTAAAGAGTAACTTTTCAGCATCATTAGAACAGATCATTATGTACTAATTACCTTGGTAATTAGATGGTTCTCTCTGTCTTAATTGCATTAGTAATTATATAAATCAAATGATAAAATATGGAATATTCAAGCAGAGATTAAACGTAACTCCACAACTTGAAATAAACTGTCCAGCAGTCCATATTGCACCCACCCCATTGTTAAGAATACTTTCTTACGGAAGTACAGAACCCCACTAAAACGATTACATCTGTTGAACGTAGTAACCCACTTTCTATCTTATATTACTTTATTAGCGTACTAAATACTAATCTAAACACAGTCGTGTGCTACCCTTGGTACACAAGCAAACAGGAAGTTCTTAATTAGACCCCAGTTAATGGGGGTAGGTACAAGCTTTAGAATATTTAATCCAAGGCTATACAGTTGCACTGTACACTACTCTTGTGATTTACACGAGGTTAATATACTAATGTATGCTTGGATTCAATAGTACATTATGTAGATCTACTATACTATGATAGAGATTTAGAGTTATTTGAAGTGATTCTCTTTAGCCCTCAGTAAAATACTCTAACGGATAAACAGTAAACACCCCCAAATTATGTAAGTCTTCGGACAATTGTTTCAGTTCAGGTTCTATGGTTACTTTCGTTCTACGAATTAAGGTGACAGTTAATTTGTTAAGTAATAACAAGTCTGTAAATTAACACAAGCTCACATGAAGAGTTGTAGTGGTTGATATCAAGTAAAGTAATCTGTGTCTGGCAGGGGAGAGGTTGAGCTCGTACTTCAAGTGTTTCAGTAAAGAATGCTGCAGCACAAATAGGAGGAGAAGCAGAATGTTCTGAATCAAAGGGGAGAGGTCTTCAAATATGTCTGAAAAATCAAGATTTTAAAAATCAAGTTACTGACTGCTTTAAGACAACAGGGTGTGCCACATAAAATGTGACTTTTTTTCTACATACAAATTTCCACCGATAAAAAGTAGAAAACTGCAATAGTGAAAATTGTTGAAATGACGGCTGGTGAAACATTGATTTAGATTTGTCAACATTTCAACAAGACAAAATAAAAATTTCGTAACTAGATGGTCAACAATGATAAATCGACTTCCCATCATACATTTGGAGGTTACAAAAATGATAATCAAACCTGTATGCTGTAAAACACTGCTTTTATAACCGTTCCAAGCAACATGACAGATAAACCCGATTGTGTAAAGGGTGATGAGTGAGGCTATCACTCGGAGCTTGATCCCTTGGAAATCACATCTCATTGCGACAAGAGTGTGGACGGATGGGATCTATCAATTATTTGTCACATACCACCATTTGTCATTTCAAGGTTGCCAGCTTTTAAATACAGTCATCCTGATTAATGATTATTATTTGTACATGTGATATATTAATCAGATCTTTCAAATTATTAATGTTATCGTTTCAGCAATGTAAAGTGTTGTGCTGCTATTTCTATACTCAGCTTCTCAAATAATATTGTACTAGTCTCATTAAAACTAATTCTAAACTAATTGTTTATATACCCAGTCAACTAAAAGAAAAGAAGACTATTAACTACAATTGCAGCGTCAATCTGGCTACAGCACATTGTGAGTGAACATTTTTTGTTCTAATAACAGACCAACTGTTTACATTCTCGTGGGATCTTTGTTATCTATTCTTTAATTATGATGAGGAATTTGAGTTGATATAGTGCGACATATATTACGTTAACCACTCTTTCACAGTTTATTATTAAGCTTTCAAGCAGTAGACTATTTTGTTTTCTATATTCTATCACTTATCAGACTCTTACTTCAGTCTAGTTTTACATTATTTCATCATATTTTATTGATCTAAGGTTTAGTATTGCCAGATCCCAGTTCAATTTGTAGTTTTATATTCACAGGAAACGATGTGACAGAGTCAATATACAGGGTGGCCCAAAAGTGACTACCCACACGCAACCCTTTAATAACTCACGTAATTCTCCTTAGAATTGCACAGAAATTTCAGAGATTATAGATACGGATCAACCTTAGATTTCCTGAAAGTTTCGTTGAATTTAATTAATTACAGTGGGCGTGGCACGCCAATCCCTCTTTTTCGCTATTGTCACCATAAAGTGAGAACGCTTTCAGCTAGGAACTTCAAAGTTTCTAGACATGTTTGGTTTGATAATTGAAGTGCTTTCCCAAAATTCCAAGTTGGTTGTTTACAATTTAACAGAGTTATGACCCTTTTAAGATATTGCAGATACGTGATCTTGCCACTTAATCAGTGATTTCGTCACCCAATCAGTAATCTCATCGGGAGCTATTCGCGAGCAAGCAACAATGAGACTCATTAGGCGGTAACGAGCATGTTGGTCGATGACGATCTGATCACTATATATAGTAGTTTAATGTTGCCATGGGGTGGCAAGTCCCCATACATCATAGCCCGATAGTTTCACTGCGTCATTATATAGTAAAGTTTTTTTGTTTTTTTTTTGTCTTTTTAACAAAGTGGGATTTAGTGTTAAAACTTAACCCAAGACACGTGAAAAGTGAGTCAAACAGTATATATACATTCAATTAAATCAAGTGATGTAATTGGCAGAGGCCAGAGCACAATCAAATTTTTAGTGTTGCAATTGGCAAAGCACACTACAAATCAAATCGAAACATAATGATACAGAAGATCATCAAAAACTATAACCTCATAAGGTCAATTATAATAAATCAGACATTTCAAATCAAGCTCAACAGCCCAATTTCAAATCAAGAAAACAACAATTTTATTTAGTGAAACAAATTTTTTTTTACTCAATTCTTGGTCGGATAGACATTTATGCAAACTTGGTCGTTTATACTCAAAGTCCCTTCGTTAAAAGAGTTAGCTTTATTCAATAATAACAATGTCGATATAATCAATTTCCATATCAATATCAGACTAAACTATCGAATAAATAAATTATCAAGTTTTAATTATTAATTCGTTCTGATTAAATCTTTATAAATTAAGATATTTAATAATTAATACATTACTTAACGGGTGATACTCGTAAAATATCTGTAAAATATCTGTTCCATATATACACAGGACCGTCGACGAGTCCAACTCTGCGCGCGTCCTGGTAGGTTGTAAACCTACAATACATTACAAGCGGTTAAAATTTCCCAACATCGATCTGAGAGTTTTTCAGTGTATAGAACAATAATGGTAGTAATTACTGGGCCGCGCTCAGCCTGTCATTCCGCCTAATCTCTATTCGTGTTATGTTTATGAACATAATAGCCTGAGGTCCCCAGGTAAGATAGTAATAGTTTAAAGTGTGTGCCGCTGCAACTAGATTATATTACTACAATTTAAAATTGTTTGGAGTCCAAGTATCTTTTAAGTCTGCAGCAGTCTGTGGTTGTATTAAATGCTCTATGACAGTGTGCCAATGCAATACCCTCCATTAGCTCCGTTTAACTCAATACTCAAAATAAGCAGGGCCAGTGATTTGCTTTACACTTTACGAGTAAAATCACTGGCCCTGTTTTACCTAGGGCTCGCCAATCTTTGTGCGCGGCGCTCTTTTCAAGCTAATCCCTGCGAGCAACAATAAACGCCGCTCATATTTTCGCAACCACTAGACTGTAGATCGGCGAGATGCGAAGGATTGACATTTTGAATCAAGGTAATTACACGTTATGCAGCTTTAAAATGTATAGCTTCAATTATAAGTTGGCCGGGGCGGGGGTCTTCATCAAAATTCTTTTGAAATTGACTTTATACATCATAGCTATTTTTGATAGAGGATCGAGATTAATATTTACCAGCTGCTTTTGCGGTCTCATGGAAAAATATTGTTTCTAGCAAAAAGTTACCGTCGGTGCAAGGTTACCGTTTAACTTATGTGCATGTATTTTGCGATCGATTTTCAATCGCGAGTTGTGAAAATCGAGTAAAAACTCGTTCAAAAACTTTTATCACGTCGTGACCCCCACGCGGTCGTTTCACCCCTGTAGAATTTCTACGATACAGGTGGAGGCGCGCACTCGTGCGCGGCGGGTCACACAACGTATGAAAATAAAAAAGAGGTCCAAGATTTTCAAAATTGAATAGATCAAAATTTTGCATAACCGATTTTTTCTAATTTTAGTTGATATTTTTGTCTACATGTACAGGTGATTTTATGCTGTCTGTTATCCACGGGTTCCTTAAATATTAGAAGGGTTAGCTTTGTGAGTTATATGGCTTTTTAAGCTTACAGGCCAAGTCGAAAGCATTTCCGAATGTGTAAAAATGTTGTTGGATTTGATGATTCTGGTGTATCGATCAAATATATAAATCCAGGCCATATAACATCTTTTTATTTATTATAATCAGCTATAATTTACTATAATCAGCGTTCGAAAATACGTCGTTTCCAGTTGGCTTTATATCAACTGTCTCAACGTTTTTGTGTATAGTGATTACGCATCCTCTCAATTGGCACATGACAGGCTCGAATTTGCAACATCCTGATTACAAATTTGTCGCATAGCTTTTAAGAATGTTTTTCATACATAGTTATAATCCAATATACCTTATTGGCCTATCTCAAAATTTTGTATGAGCCATCTTTTCTAAATGGCCCCTAAAACATTGGTTTTCTTTCATTTATTTATCTGTCCAATCGTCTTTTAGTTGATATTTTTTGTCCACATGCACAGGTCTGAGGTGATTTTATGCTGTCTGTTATCCATGGGTTCCTTAAATGTTATGTTAGAGGGGTTAGCTTTGTGAGTTATATGGCTTTTTAAGCTTACAGGACAAGTCGAAAGCATTTCCAAATGTGTAGAAAATTTGTTGGATTTGATGATTCTGGGGTATCAATCAAATAATCCACATCCTTTACTATAATCAGCGTTCGTTTCCAGTTGGCTTCAACTGTCTCAAAGTTACAGTGTATAGTGATTAAGCACCCTCTCAATTGGGACACGACAGGCTCGAATTTGCAGCATCCTGATTACAAATTTTTCGCATAGCTTTCAAGATTGTTTTTCATACATAATTATGATCCAATATATCTTAATACTTTTTAGCTGAACTTAAATTGTTTATTATTATTTAGTTTTTTGTCAATCAATACCGGAACTGATATAATCCCCATGCTGCATGCGGGTTGAGCAAGCTCCATACGGTCAGAGGGCCTCATGGTGAAAAATTCAGATTTGCTCAATGCCCTTGCTAACCTATTAAGATAGTTAAGTCACAAGTTACAAGTAGGTGGCACAGGAGCAACCTGTTCACACCAAATTGTCAATAAAGATGAATGTTATGGTCCTAGGCCCTCTAGGTGACACAGGACAAGTACTGTTCTCAAATTTGAAAGCAAACAACCAAGTTATCTTTGATTTCGAGGTTGATGATTTATCCTTTATTTATTTTTATTGATTGATTTCAGACTACAATTATATGATAGTCAATAATCTTTGTTGAATATTCTTTTGATATAACATTTGATTTATCTCAGATTATGGACCGCTCATTCCTAAGTGTGCTCAAAACCCTGAAAATCGGGCATTCCATCCAACTCCCTCAAGACAACTATGCTGCTCTCAATATGTTACTTCCCATGGTGCTGCAAAAAGAACATAGAAAAGTGTCAGAATTGATTAGCAGTAGTCCATATTTTGACATTGATACTGTTTTACCAAAAATAAAGCGAACTTTACTTCATATGGCTGCAAACATTGGTGCAGCTGAATGTGTTGCAGTTCTCTTGAACGCTGGTGCCAATCCAAATAGGCCAGATAGCAATGGGGTTGTTCCATTACATTTTGCTGCTCGTAATGGATTTAAAGATTGTTGCAAGCTTCTTTTAAATAAAGGTGCGGATCCAAAAGTACCAGATAACGATGGTTTAACATCTGTTCATTGGGCAGCTCTAAGTGGCAGAAATGAGCTCCTTGCTGATTTGCTTTCACGGAACATTGAGCTTAATGTACGTGATAAAATGGGTCAGACAGCTTTGCATTTTGCGGCCATGCATGGACATTATAAAACAGTGGAATATTTAGTTGACAACGGTGCTCAAGTAAATGATGTGAACATTGAAGGGCATTCACCTCTCATACTGTCAGCTAAAGAAGGGCACCAACAATGTATAGATCTTTTGCTATCATATGGGGCTAGTCCTTCAGCTAAAAATTCAAATGGTATGTCAGTGTTACAAATCTTGGTTTCTAATCGGTACCTTGACTGTGTCTATTCTTTGACACAGTCTCACCCTACTCAGTTGTGCAATCTCATTGAGACCCTCAGAGTTCCTGAAATGATCAACTACAAATATGTAATTGAATGTATCCAGCATATTTGCTGCAAAAAAAGAAGTTTAGTTTTAAAGATTTGGGAGACTCTGGTTTCTCTAACAATAAATACTGGAAAGGAAGTCATGTCTTCTAATACTGATAAGGCTACTCCAAAAGCTTTTGTCAGTCTTGTGAAAGCCTTGAAACAAATCAGCATGTTAGACGAAGTTTCTCTCATTGTATCTCACTGCAGCAAATCTAGAACTCACAGTGATTCAAGCACACCAACTACAATGTCCCCTCCAACTACCCCATCAGGGTCTAGTTCTTTCACTTTTGGATGTTTCTTTGAAAGCCCTGTGATCATAAATCGACTTGATGATGTTTGGATTATTCTTGAACAGTGGATGGCCATGCTTAGTAAAGAAGTCATTGCAAAACGCAGGTCAGATATATCAATTTCTGAGCTGCTAGCTTCAACTGATACCGATACCAAAGCTGGAAATCTGTTCCTCTGTGACACATTTGATGGTGACTCTAAATCACTGGATAAAGTCTCAGATAATTTGTGCACAGTCATTGAGGCATATCATCTGTGGTCAAAAGACACCTCTCTTCACCTTAAATTTGAAGAGTTTGTTACCTCCTATTCCGATGTCTTTAAGGTTTTCCTTGCTCACAACAGCTTTTTCATATTCAACCAACTTAAGTTTTTCTTGGAATCTCCAAGTTTCATGAGACAGTTCAATGGAATCAGAAAAGTGATTTATCAGAAAGATCTTGCTCTCAGAAAGAAATGGTTTTATGACAATTTATATGAAGATATTGCTCCGAATACTCACCCTGATGACAGTGCAAAGATCAGAATCCGTCGAGATGACATATTCAACAGCTCGTGTTCAGAGATCTACAATGCTAATTTAGACGATTTGAGGAAGAATTTTGTGATTTCATTTCATGGGGACCAAGGTATAGGAGCTGGTGTGAGGCGTGAATGGTTCAATATTCTTACAAATGAAATGCTAAATGAGGATTATGCACTTTTTACTAATTCGAACGATGGTATGACCTTCCAACCTAGTCATATTTCCGATATTCAAGAAGATCATTTAAATTATTTCAGATTTGCAGGGATTATAATGGGGTTATCCTTGTACCACAGCAATGTCATCAATATCCATTTTACAAAATCGTTTTACAAGCATATTCTTGGGATTCCATCTGATTACACTGATGTTAGGTCCATTGATCCAGGATATGCTAACAGTTTACAATGGTTGCTGGATAATGATATTACAGAGTTTGAAGATGATCTGGGACTGACTTTCAGTGAAGATCAGAATGTTCTGGGTGAAGCCAGGGTGGTAGAACTAAAACCAGGAGGTTCCAGTATTCCAGTAGCTGAAAGTAACAAACAGGAATACGTGGAGTTAGTAACAGAATATAAAATGACAAGCGCTATCCGGCCCCAGATCAACAGTTTTCTTGATGGATTTCATTCCATAATCCCAGCCTCACTCGTCGCTATATTCAACGAAAACGAGCTGGAATTACTAATGTGTGGGGTTCCCAACATTGACCCCCACGACTGGGAAACAAACACCACCTACAACAACTACGAGGCTGAAGATCAAGAGATCCTCTGGTTCTGGGAGGTTGTCCACGAATTTACCCCTGAGGAGCGCGCACTGCTCTTACAATTCTGCACTGGTAGCTCCAAGGTGCCTCTGGGAGGGTTTGCTGGTCTACAGGGATCCGGGGAGGTGATGCCCTTCACCATTAGTAAAACTCATGACCAGAATAAATTACCTACTGCCAGCACTTGTTTTAATTTACTGAAACTGCCAAGTTATAAATCGTTCGAAATTGTTAAAAGTAAGTTAAAGATAGCCATTAAGTATGGTTCAGAAGGATTTGATTTTGTATGAAATTTTGATGTTGCTTTATTTTGTGAACTGATTTTTACGTTATGTTATATATAATTTTGTATACATGAGTTGTTTTAGTTGGAAGACGTGACATACGTTGAAGTATGAGATAAATTGGTAGTGTGCAAGTATATATGATATGATTTTCAAGTTTTTATGCAAATTACTACCAAAATAAACAGCAATATGCAAGTTGATTGTTTTTATTGAGACCTCAGTTATTATTGTAAGCTCATTTTGGAATTTAATTGCATTGATTTTTAAGGATTTCTGTAGACCTATTACGACTCGCCATAATTTATTTGTCAAAATTTCCCGGATATTTTCAGTTTGAATACCAAATTTTTTTGATCTTTTGAGTCTCATTCATCTTGTAAATAATGCACATAAATTAAATTCTACCATAATAATAATCTGATCTCATTCTCTGCGGCATGATTAACTTATTTAATTTCTGCTTCAGATTACAGTTATATTTATAGCGAAATTCGAGTGTTCATCAATGAATATCCAAATATAGATTCCAAATGATGATGTAAGCTACCAGATAGTACGTACCAGAGTGCATACCAGAGAGATAGCAACCAAGCCCCACAGTCGTCTAATGATAACGCCTAAGAGATCAGAACATGCAACAAGCGGTAACAGGTACTTGGTGGTTAAAAAAAAACATTTTTCCTTTGCAAACAAATCTCCAGATATCTAATCTTTAGACAACCTGGTTAGCTTTAATGTTCTTAATAAAATTGATCAAAAATAAGTTCATCACCCTACCAATTATGGACGATTAACTAATTAACTTGCAGAACAGAGAAAGAGATACACCCTCTAAGACAATGGCCATGGAGGAACAAGCACATCGAGAACACGCTAAAAAACCCAAACTTTACGTTTTGTAGAACTGATATCAACTTGATCGTCGAGAAAGATGCTGTTGGTATGTGTTACTTTCACTTTTAAATAGCGACGGACAAAATCTTAAGTGGTATAATTTTACTGTTTCGTCAATCTCCATAATCTCAGCTATTCAAACATATCATTGCAGTGATCATATTATACCCACTATAATATTGAATAATTTGGACTATTTTAAAAACATCGCAGATTACATCAGCGAGATTATGAAGCACCCCCTGAAGAAGCTCTCCAACGAGTTGAAGCATCTCTCAGTTCGGTTCCTCCGAACATCCAAAGCTGAGGTCCAAACTGCTTTAAGACTCATCTTCCATGATAACCTCTCTCACCTTGCACTAGGTAAGACACACATTCCAAAGAAGTACTATTTTATAGTTTTGAAGTATCTGACACATCAGTTCTCGTGTTTTTACTAATTACTTAGTTGACTAATTATGTTGTCTTGCAGCGTCAGGCGTACATGCGTTCTCTTTGTTCCTGATGAGTATGGACAAGTACAAGTTCAGTAAATCTGTCCGGTGTCTTCTTTCCTTTTCTGTAGGACACTTCTTCAGGTTATTAAATGGATTTATGAGTATTACGACTGTCATGTTATATGAATAAATATTATAAAATTAAATAGATTTATGTAAATTTTCTGGTTACATTGAGACCGAAAAACTCATTTAATTCCTACTAAACTAAAGCAGTAAATTAATTAATTAATTAGTTAATGAATTAATTAATTAATTAATTAACTAACTAATCTAGGTAATAATAAACTAACACCACCAGATGGCTGGTGGATCACAACATATCAAAGCGAGTAACTGACTGCAGTGTGGTTTATCTAGCAGCTGCATTCCAGTGCCTCACTGAGGAGCTTCTCACCCGGACCATCCAGACCAAAGTAACATCAGATTCCAGCAAAGGTATTTCCTGGGCACATCTGTGTTGTCTGAAGCATTTGTTGTGTTTGTTCGTGTGTTCGTGTGTTTGTTTGTAGTGTGTCTGTGTGGGTATTGTGTGTTGATAACGTTTGAACAGATTAGCAGATTATTAAGATTATCCTGTTCTGCTTTACGTTGTGTTTTGAACATGTGTATGCTTGAAATTCAATGACTGCATTTTGGGGAGATTATCAAAAGTATTGATTCATATAAAACAGTGGAGCGACCGACGTGAAACCAAGCAAGCACGTGCATTATTCAATCAGTTCACGTGCAAGTTGAAACACAGAATGATGCTAAAAACGACCACGAATTTAAGATTAATTTAATTACCTGTTTGACACATTGTGAAAGCACATAGACTCTAATGATCTGACTGATGGATACAAATTGATTAACATTCGATTCTAGATGAGTGTGATCTCCCCATGTAAAATGCAAACACTTAACCAAAACCCGTGATCACGTGTTACATGATCACGTGTCACATGATCACGTGTTACGTGACACTTGACCACGTGTGACTGATGGAACACCACGTGTTAGGGAAGCAGAAAGCGGGGAAGGAAGTGCCCACTACACAGGTGTATCAGTACTACAACATCCTAGACTGGGACACCAGCTGGTGCCCTCCCTGCCTCAACAGAGACTCCGGTCCTAGCACCAGCGGATGGGTTGCTGGAGGTACGCGATGCGCTTGCTTTATGTGGCGCTGCGCACACACTCACCCCGCGTGCATTGTGTGCCAATCTTAACGCTTTACACGTTTTTACCCCGTGTACAAGCACTAGCTCTCATCTCTTGCACTGTTTTCGTGTGGATGCTAAGATTACTTTGTGGTAGCATATTTGCAGGTGCTATAGTGCGCTATGTAGCTATAGTGCGCTATGTGTGCCACCCTTCTACCTGCGCTATCATGTTCCTGCGCTGTGTGTGCTTAAATACAACCTTATCCCAGGGGGTCTTCCATTTGAAATATTGTGAAAAAATGTGAAAGTAATTTTGTGAAAATCCAAAGCTGGCAGGATAGAATTTTACATTTTTGTCACATGGATACCCTCTGCAAGCACCAGTAACCATAGTAACCGCTACTGTGAGCTGATATGTGGTTCTATGTCTCCTCTGTGTTTAATTCTCTGTTACGTGTTAAGCAGATACCTGGGTTCTTGTGTGAATGGCTACACATTGCTTGTCAAGATTAACATTATTATCATTGCATTAGTAGCTAATCTTGTCATTAGTAGCTAATCTTGTCTGATTTCTTATTGATTTTAACTCTTCTTTTTATCAAAGTTAAACTCTTAAACTTGTTGGTTTCTCTTAATGTCTATTAAAAAGCAGTTTTGTATAATTTTTAATAGAATTTTATGAGAGAAGGGATACAGCTGCACTGGGTGCTAAGATAAATTAACAAACAACAAACAAATAATATAATAAAGTGAAACTTGTAATTTAGATTTAAAGACAACCATTACCCATCAATCCCGTAATAACAAGGTACTCTACTACAATTTAAATTTAGATTAAATTAAGTTTAATGTTGGGGTGTTATACCCTAAAGCATAGCCTCTTACGTTAAGAGGAAATATGAGAGGTAATATAAAACAATACAGATTTACATACTCGCATGAAGTAGCTTGACATTTGAAAATGTACTGATATCAGTACTCAATCATCTCTAAGTTATCTCTTATCTGGTTATTTTCTATGACTGGAGCTGGATTATAATAATACTATAGAGCTTCTGTGCCGGTATGCACCAGTGTCCAGTTTATGCCAGTATGCACCAGTATTTGCCGGTATTTGCCGGTATGCACCAGTATTTGCCGGTATGCACCAGTATTTGCCGGTATTTGCCGGCATGCACCAGTTTATGCCAGTATGCACCAGTATTTGCCGGTATTTGCCGGTATGCACCAGTTTATGCCAGTATTTGCCGGTATGCACCAGTTTATGCCAGTATTTGCCGGTATGCACCAGTTTATGCCAGTATTTGCCGGTATGCACCAGTTTATGCCAGTATGCGCCAGTGTGCGCTGGTATTTGCCAGTATTTGCCAATATGCACCAGTTTATGCCAGTATGTGCCAGTATGAATACTCACTTTTCCCCAATGACTGGACCTGGATAGTAATGATATTACAAAGTACAGCTGCATATGACTGGACACGATTCTCAGAACTGGTAGAGCAATGTAACCGCTATTTCCCTAATATGGTATAATTACTAGCGAGATCTCTCTCTCTGCAGGTTATGTAAGATGCTTTAATTGCACCTGCTTTTCTTTACAATATAATGCATCTGCTCTGGAGATATTGACGAAAAAAATCAGAAGATAACGTCAAATTTTATGATATCATTGGCAAATAAGTTCTAACTTCTTAAGTTGGAAGAGCGCAAAATAGAAGGTTAGTTGAGCTACATAACACAGTTACATAACACAGTTACATAACACAGTTACATAACACAGTTATCTGTGGAATTGTGTAAAACTGCATTCTATTGGCCAAGTATTCTTGTCACTATCAAGTTTTAGTAATTCAGAGGATTCTCTCAAGTTTAGAACATTTTGCCGGTTGATGGTAGGCGAAATCTCATTCTGTCAAATGGGATCCAGGAATAAGGTCCTGGAGCTAAAACGGGCTGTATGTTGGACCAGATGAATCTAATGTTGGCCACAATTTCTATAGGTTCATAAGTAAGGAATGTGCCAAATCCTGTTCAGCTTTTTATCATTTTCCGGGCTACTATCTCTTCGCACTGTTTCGTAAACCCGAAAAACAGAATTTTCCGCACAACATTTATTTCAGCTTTGAAGTCACTTCGCATGATTTTGAATTCCGACATTGTAATTAAGTTCAGCTAATTCTTCCTTACAGTCTGAAAAGAGGCGTTGAAAAGGTCTGATTATCAGGATAGAATATTAGTGCGTTATAATGTACTGTGTATACTGTGCATGCTGTGTATAGTGTATACTGTGTATAGTGTATTATGTACACACATAGTCCTCTTACTAACAGTGTATATTCTGGCTACTGATGACAAATGTACATTGTACACTTTACAGTTAAAGTAATTCAACACTGTATACATATTACACACAGAGGGCACATTAGCCACTTACTATTAAATTAAAGGACCAGTTAACTGAAAAATTTGTAGTCTCCAATTTGGCTAAGATTTAAATCAGCTGTGACAAACTGGTAAAGAATCGTATCGCCGAAAGAACCAACTCTCTAGCGTACGTGTAACGCGTGTTATTGCAATAATAAGCTGTGGCCTCGTGACGTCACGAAGTCCCTCAGTGCGCGCTGGCATAGCGTAATACGTTGCAAATGTTTATCGTTGTCATTAAAACACATGTAACTCACTCAAATTTTAGAATTATGACTATTACCCTAGTTCTCCCAAATCCTTATAGTTTTGGCTATCATCCTAACTAAAGGAATAGCTGATTGGATGTACAGTGCTCACGTCATGATTTTAAACAGTGATATAGCTTCTTGAACAGTGGCGGGTGAATGTAGGTTAGAAAGTTTCTGCTATTACAGTTCTTATGTCATATGTGATAATTTCGGATTGTTTTCATTGCTTAATTACACAAGCAGCCAGCAGGGAGACTGTACCGATTATTTTTCCCCAGTCCATGAAACTCTAACGAATTTAGAAAGGATCTAGATAAGTAGGAGTTTGTTCAATTCCGAGAGCAATTATATTTATAGCATAGCGAAATTTCTAATTTTAATCCGCATGTGTCAGCCAGTATAGGAGACAAGAAGTCTGGCTACTTTACGGCCGTTCCTCTGGAACCATCAGTAGAAGTAGCTTCTATCAGAACAGTGCCGTGGGAACAGAATTCCCGCCAAAATACCCGGTCTACCAAATAGTAATACAGATTGGAGTTCGAGTGTATGGTGTGCGGTGTGTTTTGAATTAGACTTGCGGCTTACCTAGTTGTTATCCTAATTGCATTATCATCGGTACATACTTACTTTGTTACTTTGTTACTTTGTAGGGCTTCATAGAATCCTCTATCGGGCCATCGAAAAAGTCGACCCCCCGGACAGTGTAGAAACTGTTTTATCACCACTCCAATCCAGCAAGGAGTTTCCATTCCGACGGTTGTATCCTGGAGCTGGAGGCTCGTCCGGAAATGACTTCACGAAGTTCGTTAAAGCTGCTTTGAATTGCATAGGATCCTCGATGGTGTGCATATGTGTTGGGATTACATTCCATAATCGAGGTCCGGTTACTGCAAATGAGTTGTCATGTAGTGCTTGATTACGTTGACTGCTGGACTTAGCTATACTGGGCACAACTGCTTTTTGACCATGTCTGAGAGTCACCGAGAACTGGATACCAATATCATTAGGGCACTTGCAATGCAGAACTTTCCACATGTTAATGATTAAATATCGTTCTCTTCTTCTTTGCAATGACATCAGATCTAGGGCCTTTAATCTCTGCCAGTAGTTGAGGTGCATAACATAAATAAAATACTGGTAAGTTTAAATACCAAGTGCAAACGTGTTCAGTCGATCGACCCACTGAACAACTATAGAACTTCCAAGACCCTATTATTCTTTGGCCATATATTACGGCACGATCGATTGTTAGATGGTTAAAGTTAAACGACATTTCACGTAAAACATTGTCGCCACAGGTTGATCATGGACACTAACAGCTTAATTTGAGATAAATGACTTATGAGTTTCTCTAAAGTTAACTCTAAAGTTGTGCAGTCCAGTCATTTTTGGACATTTATGGAAATGAACCTGCAAATGTTCAGATACTAACGAAACTTTGCACAGACCTTCCCGAAGGTGTGAATAAACGATTTTCGTTTGGAGACATTTTTTTGACAGTGGAGAAAACCCAGGAGGGCCACGCCCATATTGACCCAATAACGTAACCGACCCCTTGCTTCTGAAGGTCGTAGAGACTTCAAAATAGGCTTAAACGAAGCCGCATATGCATGTTTATATAGGAGTTATTGAGCAACACATGGCCTAAAATCCATACTTTTCGAGAAATTCGCCAAAAACCATTTTGGGCGTGGTGCTGAGCCCATTTTCGATAGGATTGTGATAGAGTCTTTAGACAGGGTGCAAAAGAACTGCAATTAGCATATTAACATATGACTTACGAACAAACATATGCCTTAAAGTGCTTACTTTTTCAGTTATTGGCGAAAAACTGATTTTCGGTTCCAGAAATCATGCAAAACTATGGGTATCTGGTAAATTGGGCTATGAAGGCCCTAAAGGTTTTTAAATGTGTGCAAATTGTGCAGAATGGCCATGTTTATATACAACTTATGAAGCAACATGTAGCCTAAATTACTTACTTTTCGAGTTATTCGGGGAAAAACATTGTATTATGTCCATTTTCTACCTGTAAAATACAGTCTCACGGGCTCCTCTGCGCGCGCAAGGGACTTCGTGACGTCATCGCCAAAATAATACAAACGCTATTTACACGCGTTAGAGAGCAGTTAGAGATTTAGGAATTTCGACTCGTTGCTTAGTTTGCTATTTGTCACAATCTGTCAAAATATGAGGATAACTTTTTTTTCAGTTAACTGGTCCTTTAAGGGGGCAGGGGGGGGTCTTTTTGAAATTTCTCTCGAAATTGATTTTATAGTCGTTTTTGATAGAGAGGAGTGATATCTATCTGTTGCTTTTGGTCTCATGGAAAAATATTGTTCCTAGCCGAAGTTATTGCCGGTCAAAGGTCAGCGCTCATGTGTAATTGTATTGCGCGAGCGATTTTCAATCGCGCGCCCTGAAAATCGAGTCTAAAAATTTATCTTCTCCTACAGTTTTTGAGCAATCACCTTGAAACTTTCAGGATATGTTCAAACGACCATTTAGAAACTTCTGGTCGATCAGAATTTTGAGATAGGCCTTTTAAATTTTTTTATTCAATTTTGAAAATCCCGGACCTTGAAAAATCGTCAAAAAACGAGGTCCAAGATTTTCAAAATCGAATTAAAAATTTTCTAAGGCCTATCTCAAAATTCTGATCGACCAGAAGTTTCTAAATGGTCCTTAAAACATATCCTGAAAGTTTCAAGGTGATTGCTTAAAAAATGTAGGAGAAGATAGATTTTTAAACTCGATTTTCAGGGCGCGCGATTGAAAATCGCTCGCGCAATACAATTACACATGAGCGCTGACCTTTGACCGGCAATAACTTCGGCTAGGAACAATATTTTTCCATGGGACCAAAAGCAGCAGATAGATATCACTCCCCTCTAGCAAAAACAACTATAAAATCAATTTCGAGAGAAATTTCAAAAAGACCCCCCCCTGCCCCCTTAAGTTGACTAGTTAAGTTAATTATGAACTTTGCTTAAATACTTTAAATTAATTAGATATTATCTGGCCGGGTGCAAAGGATAAAGTATTAATTTCCTGTCTAGTAATAATAGATTATAGCATTATGATAATATCGAAAATAATTCCAGCTTTAAGTATAATACTTTACATAGTTCACTCTGTGAAACCCAACTTTTAGTGTCCACAAAATGTTTACCGAGGTAGAGACTGAACAATGTTGAGTCAACATGCTGACTGCTCTAAGTCTATCCTAACAGCTTCAAACCAAAGGCTCAGAAAAAACCGAGGCTTGGGTTCAGATTATCTGTCTTTCTCTGAGCTAAATGTACAGTATTTGTCTTACTACAGTTATACACGTTTTACATGCTCACTTTACGTACATGACGTATCAGGCATCTATAGCCATATAATATATATACACTATACAATTTACATTGTATAGTGTATAATGTATAATGTTTATAGTTCTAACTGCCAAGTCTAATTTATTCGATAAGATTTAAGATTTGAAATTGTTTGCAACATTTGGCTTGATAATTGAAAAACCTTTCCCAAAGTTTTCAAGTTCATTGGTTAAATATGGATAAGTTCATGACCATTTCAATCTCAATCGGATACGTGATCCAGCACTCAGTCAGTGATCTCGTTCACTGGTTAATGGCCTGTTTGGCTCACATTGCACCGATTGATAGGTTGCAGCCTGTTATGGGCGGATATGTCAACTTCCAGAATGTATTCACTGGGGCTCTACTAGAACCGGATGATGAAGTGGGTGGAGAGGATACGGCTTTTTCTGAAAGGGTCACGATCTGGTGCGCCATCAGTTCGCCCACAGAACCATCGGACAACATCTTGGAACACACTGGCGGCTAGGGAAGTCCTCCTGACCCTACACGTGTGACTTCTTCCTGTGGGGGTGGGTGAAGACCAAACTCTATAAGAGATATCTATAACTGCAAACATTCACCAGCTAAAGCACCACCTGACGACATCATCCATAATATGGACCCAGCGTTTGTACGAACGCTTGTCGGGTGTGAAGAAGCGGTGCTTTGCCTCAAAGGGTGATTGCGCTGGGGGACGACAATTTGAACATCTTAATTGAAATTATTGAATTTGTTTTTTGTGTTGGGAATTTTATTAGTGATTACATTTATTGATTTATCTTAAAATGTGTGTTTTCCTTTCTAGCAAAGTCATATCGGTATCCATCAAAGCTACTGAACATCATTAATGCACGCTAACGCCTTACTCTTGATCAGATTGGGTGACGAGAATCCCTAATTGAGTGCAAATATCACTGGACTGTGTGCTAGCGGATACATATCCGTTGGATTTAAATTGGTTCATAACTCAGCCATATTTTAACCAATGAACCTTGAAACTTTTGCGAAAAGTTTTTCAATTATTCAAGCCGAATGTGTGCAAAAAATTTTGAGTTCTTAGCTTAATGCGTTCTCATTTTTGAAGACAATAGTGGAAAAGAGGGCAGTGTCACGCCACGCCCACTGTAATTGGGCGGGCTTACGAACTTTCAGGAAATCTAAGTTTGACCCATATCTATAATCTCTGAAATTTTGGTGCAATTTGGGACGAATTACGTGAGTTATTAAGAGGTTGCGTGTGGTAGTCACTTATGGGCCCACCTGTATAATAATGCAAGTGAAATGTTTCAGTTGGTTCAGTGTACGAGATCGGTCATGTAATTAATGAGTCAGTTAATAATGATGTAATTAATGTGGGCACAGCGCGCAGCGACATGGCAGTAGCTCGTAAATGAACACGATAAATTAGATAATAATATATTAAATTAAAATTAAATTAAATAAATTAAATACGCGCATGCATGAACGACTTAAGCAATGAAAAACTTTAGACGGAATAATAGTTATCGCGCGTTCATACAAGTGACATAAAGGGTTTGTTTTTCTTTTGGGGCACTTTGGACCAGACGTCCTGTTTAACAAGAATCACGATGTTGTAATCTTCTTGTAAATATACCTCGATCGACAATCCAATCATACATGAGACGGAACAGGAGGAACTCGTAAAACTAAAAGGCGTTCAGAATTCTCGTTTGAGTGCGTAACTCACACTTAAATAGTTAAGCATAATCTAATCGAATTGCAAGCATACATTGAACGGCAAGGAATACATTATATCTGTTAAGGAAAGTAACCAAACCGTTCGAAATTGCTCTTTATTTTGAACTCTTCTTTTCTTCGAGTTTCCGGACCTGTACCACACACTTTTTGAAAGTCACCTATCTTATGGCATTACCGTTTGGGGAGGTGCAAGTAATAATAAACTTCAACCACTATTTGTAGCCCAGAAAAAGTGTGTTCGTATCATGTTTGGTGACAAAAAAGCATACCTTGATAAATTTATGACATGTGCTAGGACTAGACCTATCAGTGAACAGAAACTTACTAGCAAATTCTTTGAGAGAGAGCACACCAAGCCAATTTTTGCCCGTCAATCACTCATGACATTGCATAATTTATACGCGTATCACTGCTGCAATGAACTTTTTAAAGTCTTTAAATATCGAACACCAATTGCACTATTTGAACTTTTCTGTTTGTCTAAAAGACCCGGCAAAGAAACTCTTCTTATAACAACCATGCCCTCAAACAGTTTCGTTTACAAATCTAGTTGCCTTTGGAATTCATTCCGTCAGATGTTGGCACTGAACGACCTTGAAATCACCCATGGTGTATTCAAATCAAAGGTAAAAAAAGTCATTCTCTCGTCTCAGGGTAAAGGTGACAAGAATACCTGGGCCCCTTTGGCAAACTTTCTGAACTCAGGCAGCTTGAACGACTAAATTTGAAAAAATAAAACTTCTTGTCTGAATGAACTATTAGAACCTCAAGAAGCTGATCCGCATGTCTCCGCTACTAAAATGTTTAATGAGCCCAATCACTCATCACTTAACAGTTTAATCTTCAAAGTGAGTTGTACAATCTAGGTTGTTTTAAGTAGCTGTTGATAGTGTAAAACAGGAGTGACTTGATCGTTTTCATAACTTCGATTTACAATTTGTACCATAATAAAACTAGCACTGCCATGGGGTTCAAAAAGGGTCATTGTAAGCCTCCAGCGTAATGGTCCTAAGTCTCTGCCCCATGCAGTGCCTGTCAGCATCAGCTAACAGAATAGCCCTAACATAACGATCAAGCCACAAATTAGGTTCTATAATGATTTAATATTGTTGAATAAAGAGATTTGAATATAATATTTGTTTTATTCTGAATATTTGTTTTATTCTGAACTCACGTAATTCTCCTTAGAATTGCACAGAAATTTCAGAGATTATAGATACGGATCAAACTTAGATTTCCTGAAAGTTTCGTTGAATTTAATTAATTACAGTGGGTGTGGCACGCCAATCCCTCTTTTTCGCTATTGTCACCATAAAGTGAGAACGCTTTCAGCTAGGAACTTCAAAGTTTCTAGACATGTTTGGTTTGATAACTGAAGTGCTTTCCCAAAATTCCAAGTTGGTTGTTTACAATTTAACAGAGTTATGACCCTTTTAAGATATTGCAGATACGTGATCTTGCCACTTAATCAGTGATTTCGTCACCCAATCAGTAATCTCATCGGGAGCTATTCGCGAGCGAGCAACAATGAGACTCATTAGGCGGTAACGAGCATGTTGGTCGATGACGATCTGATCACTATATATAGTAGTTTAATGTTGCCATGGGGTGGCAAGTCCCCATACATCATAGCCCGATAGTTTCACTGCGTCATTATATAGTAAAGATTTTTTTTTTTTTGTCTTTTTAACAAAGTGGGATTTAGTGTTAAAACTTAACCCAAGACACGTGAAAAGTGAGTCAAACAGTATATATGGACACGTTCATTGAAGTTTGAGGAAATTGGTAAATTTCTAAAACAGCGTTTTTGACGATAGTGGTTTAATTTTAACATATATTAATCTAGCGTGTTCATAAGTTCTGAACATTAGCCACGTGACCCATACTCCCATATGCACTGCTCAAAAATAAAATGTATTGCTTTTAGGCACTATTATGTAAAAAATGTCACATTTTTGTGACATTGTTTACCATAGCTGCCCAATTAGCATTTTTTGGTCTTAGATATAGTAGATTAGGTGAATCTAACAATTATGATACAATGTAGGCCTAAAGGGCAGTGATCGAACGGCTTTAAGGCAACATTTCGTAAACTTTGTCACACTCAGAATACGAGACCTCTTTTCTACTGTGAGGTGTCCATAAAACCCTTTCAACTCATTATTTGATAGTTCTTCTGCTAATCATAGCCCTAAAATATGTTGTTTTGAAAAGTTAACTTGAAATACATGCACTTGGCTATTGGGAAATGATGTAAATTCTGTCACATTATATGGAATTTGAAATTCTGGGTGAATTTCCGAAATCATTTATATCTGATTTTGGTTTGGAAGGCGGGAAAACTCTATATAATGAGGACGATACACGGATACAGTTGATTGAAGTATAGCCCGGCAGTTGATGTAAACATCGTCACAAAATGATACAAAATCGTAAATGGACACGTTCATGTTGAAGTTTAAGGGTATTGGTAAACCAAAAAAAATAGCGTGTTCAGAAGTTCTGTACATTAGCCACGTGACCCATACTTCCATATACACGGCTCATGTCAGAAATACAATTTATTGTTTTTAGGCACTATAATGTAAAAAATGTCACATTTTTGTGACTGTGTTAACCATAGCTGCCCAATTAGCATTTTTTGGTTTAAAATATAGTAGATTAGGTCATTCTAACAATTATGATACAACATTTGGCTAAAGGGCAGGGATCGAACGGTTTTAAGGCAATATTCCGTAAACTTTGTCACACTCAGAATACGATACCTCTTTTCTACTGTGAGGTGTCCTCAAAACCCTTTCAACTCATTATTTGATGGTTTTTCTACTAATCATAGCCCTAAAATATGTTGTTTTGAAAAGTTAGCAAATACATGCACTTATTGGGAAATGATGTAAATTCTGTCACATTATATGGAATTTAAAATTTTGGGTTTTTTTTTTTTTTTTAAGAGAGGCTGGGCCAAGATAGCCCACGAGAGGATAGCATTGAGATGCTCTGCCTACCTCTGGGGTGTGGCAACCTTGGGGAAGGTTGCCGGTGAAATCAGAGTGATTGGTGGAGGATGGTGTAAGATGTTATAATATGAGTCAAAATGATACGCTTAATGCCAGCTGGGTTTGGAAAAGTAAAACGAGACGAGACAGCATATGAAATAATACTTTAAGTCACCCCGGTCTGATCCAGCTCCTCCGGCACAATTAAGCGTTTGGTGCGGTTTGCGAAATTGACAATTGTGGTGATGTGTTGGTTGTCGAATATGTCATTGACAGAGAGGTAGTAGTCCTGGAAATATTGACCTCTAATTTGGGCAATAGCCGGACACTGTCCAAGAAAGTGTGAGACAGTTTCCTCTCCGTCGCCGCACATAGGACAAGCACTGGTGTTTGATTTGCAAATGGTGTGAAGGTGTTTGTTTAAGCCGCAGTGACCCGTGATGAGGTGAACTGCAGTTCTGTAATCTTGTCTGTTTTTGCTGAGTGTAGTGTTGAGGTTTTTGATGATTTTGGCATGCTTGTGGCCGAGTGTCAGTTTGGTGTGTCTGGGACCGTCAGTTAACCAAGTTTCCTGATTCAGTCTGTTGACTTTGTTGTCGATTTGACGCTTGATGTAGGATTGAGGAATTGGACACTTCAAAGTGGATTCACTGATTGTACCAAGCTTGGCCAGCTCATCTGCTTTTTCGTTCCCCCACAATCCGATGTGTGCTGCAATCCATCGTATCTCTAGCGTGTTGTTGGATCCGAGTGCATTAAGAGAGTCGTAACAGTCTCTTGTAGTTCTACTCCGCGTTGAAAGCGCAGAGATAGCTTGTATAGATGAGAGACTGTCAGACCATATGATGATGTGTGTGTTGGTATAGGTAGAGAGATATTTGCAAGCTTCAATGATGGCGGTGAGCTCTGTTTGGTAAACAGTGCAATAATCAGGGAGCTTGAATGATCTTTCTTCAAGGGTGGTGTT